TTCAACTGTCAGCCCACGCTTGGTTGAGAATAAGTGTCCCTTAAATTTTATTTTTTTTTCATTTATACAATATGGCTGCTGGAAGACGAAAGGTATCCCACATGCTGCTCTAATGCAGACTCTCTGGTGTTTTTATGACTTTTTACCACATTGATTTGATTTGTTGCATAAATTGATTTAAGAGTTGCTTCTGACACTGAAATCTGACATTATGCATGTTCAACATGTTTGACAGCTTCAAAACAGCCAGAAATCTAATTTCAACTAACCTCAATAAAATGTATCTTAGAACATGTTGAAAGCTGATGCACACTATATATTTTTTCTTTTCATCTCAAGTAGCTTTTATATATCTACAAATACAGACATACAGAAAAGTGTTTTATTGTAAAGCAACTGCCTGCAGCATACTTTCAGGCCTTTATGGTAGACTAATTAATAATAATAATAATAATAATAATAATAATAATAATAATAATAATAATAAAGATTTTCTTAAATAATATGAACGTATTTGTTGGCATCCTTAAAGAGACTATAAATTCTTGCATTCAACTGTGTAATTTGGTATCAGTGTGTTCACCACCAGACAAAGAAGACAAGAGCCATCTGATTAGCTCTGAAAGAAGATTATAGATATTAAAATGCAGATATTCCTCTGATCACAGGTGTTCATATATTTAAAGAAGCATGAACTGAAGTTGAAGCTTGAGAGGGATGCAATTTGATTAGGCATGTAATGATAGAATGTGATGTAAGTTTGGCTGTTTTTCTGATTACACCGTCCATCCGTCACCTTTTAACCTAAAGAAGACCCAGGAGAACTCAATTATGTTAAGCTTGTATATTGTGCGCTGAAATCGCACAAGAAACAGGCTGGGATTTTCCAAAATAGTTACTGATGAGCCTCAAAGTATCTGGTAGAAAGTCTTTAGGACAAGACTAAACCGGAGCTTTCCGGTCCTCATTTTGTTTTTTTTCTTTCCAAAGGGAAAAATAAACCTTTTTCATATTATGAGACATAGACAGGGCTTGGTTTTGTTATTAGGGTACTCTACTGAATCTGTTACCGGATACTTTGACTCAGTTCAATGTTAAAGTGAGTGCCAAACTTACTCCAGAGTGAAACATACTAAACTGTGTCAGAAACCTCCACCACTGTCTTAGCATCCCTCAACAGCACCACAAACCAAAACACACAGAAAAAGCCCCCAAAAATGTGCTCAAAAGCTTCACTATCTTAGATTATAGAATCATCAGAAAATCTGCAATGTTTAAAACTTGATCAGTTTGATTACCTTGCTTTGGAAGAGAGGGACTAAACTTCCTGTTAGGAAATAAACACATCTCATTGGGATTTCTTGTAGGAAGAGACAGCTCTAAAATCTACTAGGATTAATTCTTAATTAAGAGTTAATCAAGTCCTTATCTTTCTGTCATTTCCATTTTCATTTATTATATGGACTGTTTTCTTTGTTTGTTGAAAGAATCCAACAAATGTTTACATTTATTAAACATTACGATATGAAAATATCATTAATCTTAGAACTTATTCTCTTATCCAATCTTTTTTCTTTATAATTTGTTGCAGCCATCTCTTGTAACATTAGCTTGCTTTTGATATTTTAACCTTTTGGCATAAATCACAGTAATTATATGTGGAATTTTGTTTATTTTTTAAAGTAAATTTTCTTTTTGATGATGATGATTTGAAATGTCATTGAGAGGTCTAAAATATTCAAAACTGGTGCCTGAATAAGGCCATGGAGCGATAATTTGCTTCTGCTCCACTGAAGCTCTCCTGTCAAACCAAATCAAATTAATTTCACATCTAGGCCATAAAGCAAACTTTTCACATGTACAGTTCGACTGCATGGGCTGACTCACAACATGTCTCAGGGTCCACAAGCCCTCTAGTCATTCTTTGTGGACAGGCTTATAAAAAGGAAAACCAACACAGAAGCATAATATCACCCTTCATATTTAGTTTTGTTACATAGATTTTTATGGTAAATTTATTACCACTTAGAAATTCATTGGTTCATTGTAATGACAAATGAAGATAAAAATAATCTGACCACTTTCGGTTTCAATAATAAAAGGTGTTTGTTACAAATATGCATACCTAATCAATAATTCAGACAATAAATGAGCATTTGAAGCAGACTTTACCTAGAATATTGGTAAGCTGTTTGGTGTTTTTCAAACTTTTTTCTCCTTTTGCTTATTTACCAGATACTTTTATTATTTACAGTTTTTGGTTTTCTATTAAGGATATGAGAATTTGAATATGAACATTCAAATTATGTCAGTGTTTCACTTGTGTTAAAAACTGTCCCAACTCTTTGGACTTGTTAAAGAAATGAGTAAAACCTCTGTACTCCACTCCTATTGGAGGTCTTGATAGTGTTGTCCCGTGGAGATACCTTTCTTCAACAGGCACAGGGGAGAGGTTTAGACTTTAATGGAAGCTAGTTGGAGGCAAATACTGAGTAACACTGAAAGAAAACATGTCAAAGGTTTCCAGAGCTGATACAGAGTAGTTCAAATCAAAATTGGCTAAGGTTTTAGAATGGCCCAGTCAAAGTCCAGACTTTAATTCAATGACAAGATTTGACTTAAGCTGTTTTGCACATGGGAACAAATTTAGTCTTTTGCTAGTGGAGACAAACCCCAAAACACTTAAAGCTATTATTCCAGAGAAAGTTACATTTGCAATGAAATTAGCTGCTATTAAGGCATACTTTTCAGGTTATTTTTACAAAACTATATAATAGAACTCAAAATAAATAGAGGCTTAAATGGATGTTTTGTGGTTGTGACTATTTTCACACACAAGAGTATCTTTAAACCTGTGTTAACTTTATGGCTCATTAAAGGGCTGAGTTTTGTTGCAAAACTACAAATCTAATTTCCCATCCTATGAGCAGTCACTGTTTAGCTCTTATGAAAAGTCTACAATGAAGAGTTTCTGTTGATTGATCACCTGGCTCAGACACTGGATCAGAGTATGAAGGTTGAGTCCTATTTTCTTGTTCTTGGAAGGTGTGCAGTAGGGGACAGTTTGTTGTTTTTAGCCCTGTCCTGATCTACATTCACATGTGAACTATGTGATTTGACCCCATTTGTAGATCACTCAATATGAACTACCCCACTCTTAAAAAAGTTGTTGTATGGTCAAAAATACAATCAGGTGCCTTGAAATAAGAAAAAAATAAAAATAACTAGTTTTATCAGTCATGTTAAATAAATAAATAGTCACTGAATTATTTTTTGTAAGTTTCCGCTTAGATTAACATTCATGACCATCAAGCGGAAATGATGAACATACAAAATTGGAGGCAGCACATCCAAATCAAGATCAGTTATGAAAATTTAATAAAAATTTAAACTTCTTCTCCATATTTATCTTCGCTTTCTTAGCTTTTCATTATACAAAGTAATCACCGACTACATGGTTCTAACAAGCCTCAAGGACCAGAAAAGCAAAATGACCGTTAATCAGTCTTTGGGACTGCAAGGCGTCAGTTTTTATGAATTTTACCAAAGCCTTGGTAATAGATTTTAATTGAAATGAAATAAAGACCACATGTGAATAAATCTGTATAGCAGAAATTTCTGATATAGTCAAATAAATTGGAATGACATTCTGTTGCCAAAATCATTTTGAAAACCCTTTTGCCATAACCTGCCATAATTTGTTGACCTGCCCCAGTTTATGTCCTGTTTATAGTGTGTCTATGTTCTTTTCTAGGTCAGATTTGATATGTTATTTTTCAGGAACTGGGTCAGTTTATAACTCCTACAGGAGCATAACTCAGTTCTTTCTAATCTGCATGGTCTGCTGCCATGTGATGAGCTTTGCTGGAGGAGTTTATTTCCTCCATGAAAGAAAACGTGTTGCTGACGTAAAAAGTGCTGCCTTAAATCCTGGGCCAGGTCTGTCAGAGTAATGGTGCTTGGATCAGTTCTTGGTGTTGCTATATTTGAAGATACATAAATGTTGAAAATCCATGGGAAGAGAAGAACTGATGGAGATGAATGGAGACAATGAGATATAAGGATGGACACCTTGAGGTTAAAGTTCCACTGAATGGTAAGAAAGAAGTCTAATGGATTTAAGATATAAAAGCATGTAGTTAGTAATGGGACATGTGGAAACTTTTAATCCACATTTGTTTAGCACAAAAGACTGAGGTCCACTCAAAGCAGGAAAAAGATTTTATACTAGTCTAAAGAAAGACAGTGACAACAGTAGCTCACAAAAACAAGAACATATCTCTGCCCCAAAAACTGCGATGTTCTTTTAAAGTTGCTTTTTATATTTTAGAAAACAGTAATTTTTTTTATCAACATAAAATATACATATATTTTTTTTAATTGAAGATCTGCTTGTACACATTAAATTTATGGTTCCCATTTCTTACTTCAGTGTTTCTTTATGAAGCAAAAAAAAATAAATTAATAAAACAAAATTCAATAATTAAAAACTTCTGAAAACTACAGATTTTTTTCTCCATGTTTTATTTTTAATTCTAAAAGTACTCATTTTTAGTTTCTTTTTGCCTTCTAAAATAAAATAATCAAACGCCATTACGTCCATAAAAGGTCTTACATAAGATACATGAGAATCACTGATGTGTGCTAAAACGTTTCATTTTCTGTTATTGCAAATTTATTTTTTTTTTTTTACGGTGGAGAATCGGAGAATTAGGGTCCCCAGCTCAAAACATCACAGGACCCAAACATACTTTTATTGTTATTAACTTTTATAAGGTTTTATGGGATCTGATTCTCATGTGAGTAACATGAGAACATTTTGCCTTTAATCAATTTGAATGCCAGCCAACACACAAATAAAGGGGGAATTGAAAAAAATAATAAATGAGCCACTGCCAGTTTAAAACATAGGTACGCGCTGTGACTTGAAAATAGGCCATTGGCTGTTCTGTGCTCTGAGGCGTCCCCGATGTCTCTGAATGGAGCTTCTCCTTCAGCTGATTTCACTGTGCCGGGTGCGCAGATGTGCAGCAGCAACTGCAGCAGCTCAAGTTTGAAGATCATAGTCAGGAGGGGGAAAAAGACAAAGATGCGTCTATTTTAGGTCGACAGATTGGATGTTTGTACTGAGGAAGTCACTCTTTAAGAAGCGCCCCGAAACAAACCTGGATTTGCGCTCACAACGCCGAATGATGAGACACTCAGAGGGCACAGGAATGTACTGCAAGGGAGGGTATGAGAAAGTCATCCTGCTCATCTTTTACCTCCAGCTGTGGTCCAAGCCGATGGTGAGTAACAAGCCCTTATCTGCGCCAAAAATACGCACACCAATAACTGGCGGAAATCACCTTAAAGTCCAACAAAAGTTGTTCCTCTGGACACCTTTAATAGAAAACACTCTCCTTTATTTTCGATGGCTTTTCTAATGTGGTTAACCTTTTTGTGCGCCGTCTCCCTGATTCTCCCTGGGGCTTTTGTCACAGTTGGACTGACATGATAGTATGCAGCTGCGTGGCTCTCATTATTGCTTTTCTATCCACCTGCATCCATCAACAACATCCTCAATCAAAGCGACAGTCAGCATGGATGAGGGAAATTAATGAGAGGTCCGACAGCGCACAGGTTTGCGCATGAGGTTTCGGGGGCATGAACGCCGAATTCTATGATATAAATGTATAAATTTCAATGACCGTTTGTTCCATTATAACATGATGGAAAATCGTATTAAAAAAACCCAATCTGATTAGTAATTTATTCAGTGAATTCTCCATTTCCGTACCTCCCCCTTCATGGCATCACCCTCTTACGCCTCAAACACACCGAGAACAAGCGAGAAGCGTGCCTCCTCGTCCCTGTAGATAACTGGGACGTGTGTCTAATTTTCAGGGTGAAGCAATTCATCCGGACTGTGCCATCATCGCTCAGCACCTGAGGGCTCAAGAGATTTGCAGCCAGACGAGAAGGAGCGAGGCGCAAAACCGGAGCGATCACAGCGGTGGGTTCCCGTGTGATATGCTGCGCTTCTGGGGCTCCTGTCCCTCAAACAGGCGCTCAGGGAGATGGCGGTGAAAGTCTGACGCTCTGAGACAATGATTTCAATCGAAAGTATAAATGCTAAACTAGAACAAGGAGTTTGGGGATGCGGAGATAAAGCCTACTGGCAGCAGGGAAGGAAAATATAATTGACATACTAGCGGGAAAGACATGTTGGTTGAAGTTTGTCATTTCAGTATTTGAAGTTATATAAAGATTTCTCGATGCATTCTTTTTGAAAAGTTATAAATCGGCAAGTTTGATTCACGGTAAATTAGAATATGATTTAATTAATATATATTTTTTAAAACTGATATACTATTTCATAAATGTATTTTTTGTGCATTGTGATGATAATAGATTACACGTAACAGTCAAAGTTTCTGAAAAAGTGAATCTTGAGTTTTTAAGAACAATACAATTATTATTATTACTAATTTATTGATTTGCATTTCTGAGAAAAAGTACAAATTTCCAAATTTTTTTCTAGCTTTGTCATACTCAAATGTTTCAAATAATCAAACAGCTCATAACTCAGACATAGCTAACATGGGAAGTAAAAAAAAGCAGCTCAGACTGGTTCAAACAATTCTCGTTGAATTGGAAAAGTAATCATTTCATGTATACAGTCATGGATTAAATGTTACTGATTACATTTTTTGGAAGCTGAGTTCAAATTCATTAGCTACAATCAGACCTGAGAATAAAAGATAAAAACCTGTCTGACAACACAAAGTAGGACAAAATACTCATATTGAGATCCACACACAGAAAAGGAGAAAACATTGAACAATGGCAAAACTTCCCTGGCATAAACAATTGCTTATAATTGTGTATCACCGATTCATTGAGGAGGTCTAAAAGAAGACAACATATACATCACTGCATTCATCTCTTAAGGTTAATTAGGTTAGTTTTTAATCATTCAACAGAAAGAGACTGAGTGAAAATGGCACTCATGTTCCAATGTCAAAACCACAGCTGACCAAAAAAAAAAGAAAAACTATTTTTTGCTGATTGGCAAGACAAAAGTAAAACATTTTAGAAAGTCCTGTCAAATCTCATAAAAAGCACAGGGTTTAAAAATACTAAATTGCACAAAGCTAACAAAAAAAAAAAAAAAAAAAAAAAAAATTACATAGTTGTGGGAGTTGTGAGTTTTTCATGCTGCTGTTCAGATATAAGATAAGAGAAGCCCTGGTGAACAGGAGGGAGGGTGAAGTTTAGATAAAAAGAAGAGCAAAATAAACACATTGGCTAATAGGGTTTATTAAATAGTTGTAACAATTGATTCTTAACCATGATATGCACACAGCATTTACTGACAAAAAAAACTATGAATAAGCTGACAGAGATCAGATTTTCACAGTAATTCATAAACTGATGTAACATGTACAATGGTTATGATAGAATTTCAAAACAAAAATGGAGACATTCACAACACCATGTATCAGAAAAGAGATTTGCTGAAATATGTGTTGTTCCCTTATTTTAACTCCATTGCACTGATCATTTACTCAATGTGAAATATGCCCCTGGTGAGGCCTCGTCATCTTGTCCTTCCAATCTGGCAAGTTGACTTTATAATAGACTAGTGAACCTGGCATTTCCCTGAGGGCTCAAATGTCTCAGGAACTGGCATCATATTAGAACTTGGCTCAGACAAGCAACATGGGATGATGATCTTTAACATTTCATAACTACTTTGATCTTAATTGAGGTTGAAGCTACTCAGTACTTTGGTGCAATGTTGTCCTCCAAGGCTCATTACGCAAATAAATTAATGTTGATGAATTTCTCTGATAGAATTGAAGCGTCAGTGTCCAGTCAATGTGCTGGTGGCATGTGACCGTACAGAACTCCAGAGTCATGCAGAGTTTAATGCAACCCTTCACTAAATTACATACCGCCTTTTGTCACATTGCAACCACTCACTTTAATGTATTTTATGTGATAAAAAAGAAAGTAGTACATACTTACAAAGTGGAAGGAAAATGAAAAAAATTACTTGTGGTGTGAATTTGTCAGGTATTGATTCCTGAGTCAATATCTTGTAGAACCAACTTTTGGGAAATATCTTTACCAAATTTACTCATATGAAAAATAAAAATGTTGCCCATTTCATTTCAATAGCCTGAACTCTTGGGGGGGGGTGTCAGTTCAATTCAAATCAGTTTATTTATATAGCACAAATTCAAAACACGTCATCATAAGGTACAAAAAGTACCTGGAGAGTTTGTGTCTTCTTCCTTACGTTGCTGATGTTTTATCTGTTCTTTTCTTGCCAAGATGCCATTTCTTCAGGCTGTCTGTGAAACATCCATTCCACAATTTGCAAGACTGTGAGTTTCTTCTGGGGCATAAAAGTCAGATAAAATCACTTGAAAATTTGTGGAAAAATCAATAGGCTCCAAATAATTTTTTTTGCAAGATTGTAGGTCTCAGTGACTACTGGTGGTAATTGGTCAAAATAGACATTATGTTTACTTTACCTATGTAAAACATCATGTCAAAATTAGACTCCAAATTGTTTTTGTTAATGACTTAATTCCATAAAATTGAAGAAAAAATAACTAGCAGTCTTTTTCTGACATATCATTCTTTGATAATTATATCAAAGAATGAAGATATAAACTGAGAAAACTTTTTTTAAAATTGATACACAACAAAAAGGCATCATCATGCTATGTTGAAATACAGAATAACATTCATTTCAAATATAAAAAACTGCCGTGCACTCACAAGTGAAACGTCATTGAGAGGTTTACTAAATGAGGACTGCAGGCATCTTCCTGCTCCTCCACCAGCATTGCTCTGAAAGGACTCAGTCTGTGTCCAAAGTCATTTCATACGTCTCTGTTAATCCAGAATGAGGTGACATTCAAGTGGCAAAGTGAGCAGCCCCCTCCCACCCCATACAGCTGCCTGTTTATCAAGGACTCAGAATGGAGCACAGCTAAGGGGACGGGAGAAACATTTTCATTAAAAATTATGTTTTGAAGTGAACCATCAGCCTCTTTATACATCAGTCACTTTTTGAACTCTTGACAGCTTGATGCAGCTTAAGCTTCCCTCAGCTGGTAATTAAACACAAAGAAGTCATTCCCACAGAAACTATATGGATTTTCATAATGTATGGTTTGTATGCTCTTGCTTTGTCATGAGGATAAATGTGAACAAATACTTCTGTTGGATCCTATAATTGTGCCTCTCTTTGGTGGCTCTAATCCGAGTCTAAAAATGACTTCTTTTCACAATTAGCTCTTCACATTTTTCATATCTCTTGCTCTCTGCGCGATTTTACAGACGCGAGTTTGAGCATGATGATTGGAACTCCCTTTGGGAAATATTTCACCACCTTAATTTGAACTTGTTGTCAACTTTATCTACATCAGGAATCCAAAATAAGCACACATAGCTTGAATTAAACTTGTGCTTCCCTCAAAAATTAGAGAAACTAGGGCAAATTCTGCTGAACATTTTCTTAGTGTTAGCCTTGTGATTGCTGTGTACTATCAAGACACCAAATCAAATCAGTAAAGCTGACTGTATGAGAGAAAAGGAGACTAGTTTATATTTATTCATTTAATTAATTAATTACCTGATAATACCTATTGCATTTCATCCTAGGCCTCAACTCTATCAAAGGGATAGGATGTCCCAAAATTTTTTTCAGTGGTGCAGGAGAAAAGCTAAAGGGTTTAGCTTTCAAGCCTTTAAAAAGCAAGTTTTTTTAAGGGGACATCTGGAGTGAAATAAGTATAAGGAGCTCTTGCAACCAGCTTCCACACGTAAATATTTTATGTTTTTCATACTACAATAATGTCCAGAGGAACGCCTGAAGTTTTGCTAAAAAAAAAAGCAAAAAAGAGCAAGAAGATCACATTTTTGACGGTTTTTACATTTCAGCTATTACAATACAGTTATGTGCATTTAAGTTGATATACTTTTAAGTTGTTCCATACAGGTCACTATAAGAAAAAAAAGAAGAAAAAATTGCATTTCTTTTTTTTAATATGTTATCACAGCAACAAAAACTTATGTGAAAAACAGTTTGTCTTGATAAATTGGAATGTCAATTGGAATGTTAAGTTAATTTATCAATGCAATTATTTTTTTAAAAGTGAAGCTCTGATGCTTCTTGATTACTAAAGAGGCTGGCATGTTGTAAATGTTTGTTTATTACATAAGATCAATAAAAAGGATTTCAGTAAAGAGAGGGGAACAAGTGATAAAGCAAACTGAGGAGACATTTTATTAAAAACTGCATTTAAAATCAAACAAGCCTTTTCACAACCGATCAAAACAACCAAAGCCTTAAAAAGGCAAAATATGTGCATAGATATAGTTTTCATGTAATTTTCTTTCAGGCATCGACACTGTCATGACCCTCCTCATGGCAAAGACAGAAAAGGTTTCTGTTTTTGAATGTGACAGGACTGTTGAGGCCTCTTGCAGTGCTCTATTTGTGCAAAGGTTGCACACAGCAAGAAAGTCATTTTCTGAAAGATCCTGAAGGGATTTAAACAAAAAGTCAAGTAGTGTACTTGCACAAATGTTATCTGCAAGGAACTTGAGAATCTAGCTGCATGTTAATGACGAAAGCACATCCTCCACTCACATTAAGGAACTTACTGATGTTTAACTCACACAATGCTCTGAAAACATACTTCCCTCATTGTAGCAATATTCCAGTTTTACTTTTTGATGGACTTAAATAGATAATCAATTGCTTCACTTAAAGAAAAACTTGTCCAAACGAATAGGCTTGTGGTAAAGTAATTAGCTGCCTTTTTAAGTTCTAAGTTGACAGCAATTGTCTAAACATTGTGAAAGTGAAATTAGAAACATCCTTGATTATTGCCAGGACCACATTCTAAAGACAACATGATGTAGGATAAATATCTCATAATGCAACAAATCATGCCCAGATCTGAAGAAATTCAAGGACAAATGAGTTCAAAGCTTAGGAACTTGGAAGACGTGTCACAATTGACGGAACAATAAAATCGTCTCTCTCGAAAATCCTGCTTCACAATGTGCAGGTATCAGTTTGTAACGTTAAGGTTTTAGTTTAAGAAGCATCAATCAGTTAATGAATGATTTGACAGGACAGTTATAATTTCTAATATTGCCATACTGCTTTGGGAAGCTTTTTTCCTTAATGAAAAAAACATCACTTTGAAAAAAGCATTTTGTATTTATATAAGAAATTGTTTATTGATCTTGAACATTTAAGTGTGTAGCAAATACAGAAGAAATATGTCGTGAGAAAATACTTATTCACATCACTGTAACTTTGTGATAAAATTTTTAAACGATTTCACAATCTTATTGTTTTTAAGGAGTGGTAAATGAAGTGACTTGATTTAAATAAAAATAAAAAAGTTGTGTACGTCAAACATAACTCAAAAAGAAATGTAACTTCACAATTGGATGGCCTTTCACTACATTCTAAAAATGCTTCTCTGTTATGCCATTTACAACTGTTTTTCGGAGAGTTGGGCTGAGAGGTATTTTGTATGATTTGTGTGAGGAGTGCTCTGTGAGGTGGAACATTCAAGGATTCCTCAAACGCATGCAAGAATCAAAGCAGGTTTGTTTCTGATGAGGAAACAAACCTTTAACATGATGTAAAGCTCAAAAAGTCAATTTCATATAATTCTTCCCCCCTTTAAAGTTTCATACCATGTTAGAGTTTTTTCTGCTGTGCTGCTCTAAAAAAAATATTGAATAATTTAAAGCATGAACGAGCACTTGCTAGGTAAATGTAACTTGCACGGAAAATGACTTACACATTTGAATATGATTGGCAATAAATTTTACTTTAGCATACCTACAAAACACCTTGGTATTTCTTCAATGAAAATCCAATCTAACCAGATTTGCTTGTGTGAAAAAGCAGGTGATATCCAGGCAGTGTTAGATGTGCTTCAGAACACCCACATTTAGGATTTCCTGCACAATCCTCCATATTGAGACTTGGTGATGAATTGGTGCTGCATGCAAATCCTGAAGGCAAATAATGCACTCTGCTGTCTACCTCTTTCACTTTCAATCAGTTTATCCGCTGCTTCACTGCAGGAAATGATTTCAGTTCTACTCTTCGGTTTATCAGAGGATTTTTGCACCTGAAGTTGAGTAATTCAATCAGATTTCCCTCAGCTCTTCTGCCATTAATCTAGTCCCATTAATATTACAGCTGTGTCTGAACACACGACATTGCTAATGGCTTTCATTTGCAACACACCATCGCTGTGTTGACACAGTTTTTGGAAGATGTTGTCTCATCCTAAATTAGGATTGTGTCAAGATTAAAGCCAATCTCTGTAAACCCTGGGATGATCCTTCCACATAACGTGCATTCACGCTGCTCAGAAATACGCTCCTTCAAACCAATTTAAAAATGACCCGACCTAACAAAAGCCCCAAAATAAAGCAAATTAATAGAATTTTAAATCCAAAATTCATCTAGCATGATGAAACAATTTGTTATTTATCAATTCAACTCAATTTAATTCATTTTTTTAATCACTTTTGTTATACAATACAAAAAGACAACCAGCAGGATTACACTCTTTTTTGTTTACCACAAACCAAGTGTTGCAGCAGTTTTCTTTCACACAGCAAAGGTTTATTATTGTAATTAAATAAATGTGAAATAATTACTTCTGAATTAATTACACTGGAAGGGAACAAAAAAGCAACAATTTTTAACTTTTTAGTCAGCGGTTCAGGAAGTGAATTATAAAAATACCTCTCGTAACACAACAAAACAAAATGTAACTTGATTTTGTGAACAATTTAACATCAGCTCTTATGTTGTGTCTCATAATTATACGAGATGTTTAACACAAGATGAAGACCATCTTCTGCTCAACATAAGGTGTTGAACATCTGTTCGATGCAGATCGAGAGTCCAGGTACAGAAAATCGTCACAAGATTATGTTCATCTCATGAAGATGTTCTTTTGCTGAACATCCTCAACACAAGATGAACATCTTCTATTAACAGCAGATTGAGAGGGCAGGTGCAGGTCAAAATGCAAGTTAAATATGCAAGTTTCTTTGATATGAGTGTATATGTGTGTTTGTGGGGGTGGTGGTGGGTGCGTATATATATATATATAAAGAAAGTTTGTGTGTGGCCTATAAACTCTTTTTCTGGTGTTTAAATGTTTTTATAATTTGCGGGTCAGAAATGACCAATAAGACAATCCTTATACCTTAGTGGTGTTGGGGTCAGTTTAGGAAAAGTCATAAAATTTCAAGTCGGAAAAGATCGTTTAGCGTATTTTTTCTACAGGCAAACATGGTAAAGGGTCACTTTTGACCTGCAAGGGTTAAACAGCCTCAGTACAGAAGAACTACATCTCCTAATCCCAGACAGCAATTAAGTCTTTGTAAAGATATAGCAAATGTAATTTTCTATTTTTGACCAGCGACACTCAAACAAATACTCTAAAAGCAACTTAATATGTCATTTATTTTCCAAAGTGCAGTTCCCTCAGTGTAATCTTCTTATTTTCTTATCCTCATTGGATTTCCTCCTCTCACAACAAGATGAGCTCCACAGGAAAAGGTGTGAAAAGGACTTAGTTTCATCTTCTGTATGTGATTAATTTGCAGTTTGAGTGAATGAAAACACATAAGAACAACAAGGTAATCTTGTAGGAATTTTTAGATCCAAATGAACTGCAGGCATTATAAACATTACAACATTTTTCTTGACTAACAAACCAAATATTGTAGATGTTACTGAGCTTCCTGGGAAACCTAAAATATTTTAGGTTTTTAAAGAATCACCCACACAGCTGGTCAATATTTGAAGTGTCCTTTGAGTGTCCAATCTACAGCATCATTTGCCAAGTTGCTATGATGCATACTGTTTACTTGGATCATTTTTGCCACTCCATTTATGCCTAAAAGTGTAAATTATGAGCAAATTACTACTCCTAAGTAGCACGTTTCTGCTTCTCCTAAGTTACCATAGGCAACTGATTGTATGGCCCTTTCTTAGTAGCAGTTTGCAATTATGCCTTACCATGTCCATTTGTAGATGATGCATTGAACAGAGCAATGTTCTCTGAGACCCTCAAAGGACAGACACATTTAAACACTATTTATTGATAAGATGTTTTCTAAAGGCAATTTATAAGACTGGAGTTTTTTAGCTGTATCAAAGTAAAGTGATGTGAAACTATGTGAAAAAGTTCAAGGGATACAAATACATCTGCAAGGTGCCCTATGACTAAATGAAAAGAAAGATGAATAACCAAACCATCAATTGAACCAAAATCATCAAATGCATGATTGGAAACAGAGATCTAGGGTAGTTGCTTGGAAACAAGACAGTAACAGTTATGTTCTTAAAAAGTCTTGCATTGTTTAAACCAAACAAGCACAACAATTTGATTCCCGTTCTTTGAAAAGACAGATCTCCCTTCATTGTGTAGTCGTACACTTGCTAAATTTGATCCCTTTCACTCTCCTGCCTTTGTCTGAAGCCAGTGCACATAAAACCAGATATGCGATGCTGTAAAGATATATCTGAGAATCTCCCTTTTCGGATAGGCACACCCATAATCTGCATGTAACAAATGTAACATCAACATTTGATGGCGTTTGCCACATGCTGCGTAAAAAAATCTTAATGTTTCACAACCTCAAAGCAAAACAGTCTGTCTCATAAAAACCAACCTGGAAGAACACGACTTCTGAGCCACAGCTTCAGGAATATTTGAGTGAGTCAGGCTGAAAGCAACACAGAAGATGCTGAGGTAAATAATCCAGGGTTTGTGTGAACAGTAACACACTGTAGCTCCAATAACATTTGCTCGTGTTACACTAAAACTGACAAAATGTACACATGATTACGTAAAAGGAGGGAAATAGTTAATTTATTTATATGGGATGGAGTGATAGAGTTGATAATGGATTAGATACAGAGGCTTGGTAAAAATGAAATAAGGAGCTGAGAGAAAACACATTTTTGCTTGTATATCACCAGCATGTCTAAATGCATAGTCTGAAATCTGAAACTCATTTAAATAACCTAGAGAATGCAGCTCTCGTGTTGTTCTTTTTTAACTCAGCTGGCGTTTCACATTTTCTGTTTTTCAGCAATAGAAAAATATTCAAAAGACATTTCTATATAATTCTATAGTTTCTCTACAATTATTTAAGATCTCAAAAGCTTAAAAGAAGAAAACACCTGACGTGCCAGTTTGGTTTTATCCTTTGGGAATAGTTCATTCATGATCCTTTTTTACTCCTCACATTCAGTCACATTGGAGTAAACCCAAAAATATCTAATGGACTGCCAAAATCTGTGCAAACAGTGATTATGAGTGGGAAAAGCCTTCTGGCTTTTCCTGTGGTGTAAACAACAGATTAAATCTGCCTCAGCTGTTCTGGCTGAAAATGTATTTTTCCTTCCTATTCCTTGATTGGCAAAAATGGTAGTCTAAATATTTATCTGTCACAGACTAACATTTGTTTAACATCCACATGGTTTTACTGCACAAGGTGATCAGAAGTTTACATACAGTCACCTTCGGTATGGATATGTTATAGTTAATTTCAATTGGTAAAAGATCAGGACTTTTAGTTTAATGTTAGACTTCATTATTCTTCCCAAAACCAGATTTGATATGTTTTTTGAATAATGATCCTGTAGGAACTCCCTTTCTGGCATTTTATTTATCTATTAAAGATCTGATCAGTTTACTGGTTTAAGAATAAATAAAGCTGATTAATGATAAGCATCTGGAATGGTTCTGGAATGGTCCATCCCAGAAAACCAATGAGCTTTGTCATTTCTCTTTCATGCACAATAATACAATAATGACCGGTGCTAACTGACAGATTTGAAGTGACTTGTCCCTCTGCTTTCGTCCGTCTGTTTGCAGGATGTAAAACAGAATGGGATGAGATTGGATGCTGGCTTAGGGCCGAAGCTGGGCAAGTTGTCAATTTATCCTGCTCTGAGGTCTTCCAGCATTTCTCCAGCAATCAAGGTTGGTTTGCATAGCTCATCAAATGCTCAACCTCATTAAAATATAAATAAATGAAACACTTGTACTCAACATCTAATCAGCTGTTAAGATGAGGAATACTGTGTTTGAAACTTGTTCTTGTGCACAATGTCTTTGCCGCTAAGGTTAATTATACATAACATAATCAAAATGCTAAAGCAAAGTGAGGATAGTAATGGAAAAACATAGTATGAATTATTCATGCATGTTTGCTGGCATGAACACACACTGCCCTGGGATGTTTTTGACAGGAAGAGTTTGAAATGTTGTCATGTAGTTTTAATTAATATAATGCAATTCTTGTCTTTTTTGTGTTTCTGAAGAAAAATGTTATGTCATACCATTACTATAAGGTGAAATGGATGTTAATATAAGTATTTTCATATACGTATTCATTTATTTTAAATTACATTTTCTTATTTACAGTGATTGAGAGTAAAAGTGTTTGGCATTATCTAAAACCTGAAAATCTGTTAAAATGTTACCACTTTCCTTGCAGTATTGTTAATTAATGCTACATTTCATTAGAAGTCATAGTTAGTAACACTCACTTCTCCTTTGGCATCACCGAAACAGTGGACCACACTGAATAGCAGATCATCCAAACAAAGATCAATCACGTTTTAAATATTTGGGCTCCCACTGGTTCCATGTACAGAAGGAATCAGAATGGTGAAGAAGAATGATTTACATGACTTTGAATCCATCATGTTGGACAGATAGGCTGGTCAAATGTTTCCTGAAACTGCTTGTCGTGGGTTTTGCACACAAAATAATTTAATTTTCTTCAGAAGTATGGATCCACTCTCACTTGAATCAGCAGTTTAGTCTGGTGCTGGTAGTGTGATGACATGGGAATATTTTCTAGTCCACATTTGAGCTACAGTTAACATCTTAATCCACTTTTGAATACTGTCAATTGAAAATTTGTGTCCTTAATGTGAAGGACAAAAGGATAACTATCACAAGTGATTGATTAATTTGTGCTGGAATAAGTTGGCTTGAGCTAAATGTTATTTTGACAATACTGGTTTTTACACTCTTGACTATGAATTTTATACACTTTTCTTCCCTGAAGATTGTGAATTGCTCCATACAAATAAAATTAACACTACATGAGCGCTTGGAATATGCATAAAAATTGTGCTTTACATTGACTATCACATTAAAATTGGGTTTTCTGATATCTGGAGTTTTTGTGCAAATGCAGTCATAATTCATGTGCCCGCCCCCTCCCATCTTTTCTTTACATCCTTGCTGTCTGCTCTTTTGTCAGGGTATGTTTACAGAAATTGCACTGCTGATGGCTGGTCTGAAATGTATCCAACTTATCAAGACGCCTGTCATTTCAGCGATGACAGCGAGCCTGAATCTGAGGTACACACACACACACACACACACACACACACACACACACACACACACACACACACACACACACACACACACACACACACACACACACACACACACACACATGCACACACACTTTGTTGGAATCATGCTTTCTCAATGCTCACCTTCTTTAGCTTGGACTTCTTTCACAGAAATCCTGCCAATGGATGACGCTGTATTATCGATGCATCTGCAGCAGGATTCTTAAAAGGGAAACTTACAGATCTGTTTGCCTCACATCTTTCTTCAGTTTAATCTTGAGTTTTCTTCTTCCAGACAAGTTACCTCCATACGTTCAGACAGGTCTACACTGTAGGATACGCCACCTCACTCACCACTCTCCTTACAGCTATAGTGGTGTTTGCAGGTTTCAGGTAAGGGCACAACAGCACAGAATGCATACGGATATGACAGAACTAAAAAAAAAAAAAAAAAAAAAATCAATACCTGGATCCTTGGTCACTTTACATTGTGGTTAATATCTGAAATCTGAATTATCTCTCCTACACTTTTTTTGCCCCCAACTTCTGAGTATATTGAAGAGTATTCGTTTGCATAGACAATATAAGAAGACCCTTATTGTGTGACTCTGTGTTGGGATGCACAGGAAGTTTCGCTGTACCAGAAACTACATCCACATCAACCTGTTTTCCTCATTCGTCTTGAGAGCCAGTGCTGTGTTCATTAAGGATGCTGTGCTGTTTGCAGATGAAACTCTGGACCACTGCTCTGTTTCTACGGTAAGCCTGCGAATTAATCGAGGAATTTTTCATAACTTGGATTATGACAAGGTTTTAACAGCAAAAAGAGGGACAAAGATGGGAATTCAAAAGAAAATCTCACTTTAAATAACTTTTTTTTTTTTACAAAAAACAACAAAAAAAATTAATATAAAATAAATATGCCAACAGGTATATATATATATGAATATATTGATATGACGTGACCTTCCAGAGGAATAGGAACCAAAAGACAGAAAAATGGCAGACAATTTCATCCAAGTGGACTTCTTGTGTTCTAGACTTTCACTTGGCAAATCAATAACCAAATCCCTCCTGTCAGTCTCTTCTTCATCCTTCAGTCACACAAGCAGCAAGCTCCAGTACGTCACCTATTTCTCTCAATGTGGAGAATATAGAAGCATTGGCACAAAGTCACTCGAGTTGGCTTTGGGGAATAGCTTTGCATAGAGCCAGCCTCAGTCTATCTCATTCAGCTCAGGTGTTCAGCTCTTTTGACTGCACTTGGTCTGCGTTAACCATCAACAAAAACAGAAATTGTTTTGGTGAACTCTCCCAGCATCAGAATGCAAAAAGCAGAAGTTATCCATCTTTGAGATGGCAGGAGTAGTAAGCAGACAGGACAAGCAAACACAAGATTTTCTAAACAATGCGGGGCCATTATGAGTGTCTACACAAGTTCCTCTCTTCCTCTGTAGGCTGTTCCACCGCAGGAGGGCCAAATCAGTCAATGAAAAATGTGTTAGAGAAGTGTGAGAATTTTAATTGCACTCTTTAAATAGTAGATCTGTTGTTCCATCTAAGACCATGGAAGGATATCTGACAACATATTTAAACTCGCCATAGCAACATCATAAGAAAAATATTTGGAAATAAATCAAGTCAGATTCAAATCATCAGATAAGGCATCACATTAACATACATTATGTTAAAACTTCAACTTGCCCTAAATGATAATTTTATATTCTTTGTAATCCCAAATAGATCCCTAATAACTTTGTTTGGACTTGCGAACAGCAGTTATTAATTGACTTCTTTTTTTTTCTTTTTAATTTCACAAATTACATTTTTCTTCTTGATGGTTGCAGAGTACAGGAGCAAGTTTAATGCCCATAATTTTTCTCACAGCTTTAATACTTTACTTTAATGCCCTTTTTGAGTTTCATATCTCTGTAAACTCTCAGTGAAACACAAGAACTTGTCTGCAGTTTAATTAATGGACTTTATGGTGATAAAGTCTAAAATGTTGGAAGTTGCATGAACAAATTGGACACATTAAGAAATATACATAACTGTTTTTTAAATGATTGTTAGTGTCATTGAATGGATGACAAATTTGGATCAAAATAATGCTGGGTCTAGTTGAATTTGTTCTAACAAATTATCTTTCAAGTAACTATAAGTGAAAAGCAAAACGTGATCGAGTTTGAAAGCAAAAGCATTGATTCAGGATAGTTACGAGCTCATCTGTAGTTCTTATAAATGGATGCTTTTAACTCTGTGTCTATTTTTATCCTCCAGGCTGGGTGCAAGTCAGCTGTGGCTTTTTTCCAGTTCAGCATCCTAGCCAATTACTTTTGGTTGCTGGTGGAGGGCATGTATCTGCAGACCCTCCTGGCCCTCACTTTCGTCTCTCAGAGGAAATACTTCTGGTGGTACATTCTCATCGGATGGGGTGAGTAAGAAAGGCAGCAGTCATCTGTACATGTCAAACTCATCACAGACTATGCATTGCGTGGCCCTGGTGTGCTAAACCTAATATCATCCACTCATAAATTTCATAACACAGGGCTACACTGCACATTTCATGCTACCTTTAGCTTACTATATAAGCCAAAGGTCCTATTTTTTTCTGACTGAAAACAATAATTTGGGGCTGTAAACTTGCTTTTACATCATGGAGCTGTAAAATGTCGAAGCAACATATGAAAAACATATTTGTTAACAACATTATGGTCATTTTGCTGGGAGAACTCACAGGATATCCAATGAGCTTCCAACGATTGCTTCTTGGAGGTGTGGACTCTGTTCAAGCTTTAAACTTTTCCCAATTGTTTAGTAGTAATGTATGTGATGTGCCAGTTTGATAAAGCTTACTGGAAATTGGCAGCTCTCTAAACAACTGTCCTCCACTTTAAAATAAAAGTGCTGAGCTGAACGTTAATTCAATAGTCAGAAGTGTGGCCAACAAGGATTGACTGGCTTTGTTCATGTATTGCTAAAACTACAGGCAGATTACAATTTTAAAACACAGAACATCAATATCATTTCACAACTTTACCTTATGATTGGCTCAGTAGAAATGCTACTGAAGGAATCCATCTCAATGGGAGAAAGCTCAGACTGAGCTGTGAAGCGAGATTAGAATCAAGCAGAATGGTGCAGGAACGTAATGGCTCAGTAATTATTAGCCAATTAAAAGACTTTGCCTTATTTAAAAAAAAAACTGTTTCTGTGCCACATTTAAATGAAAACAGATTTTGTTATTATAAAAATATAAGAAGTTTTAGAAAATGTAAAGTTTTTCTTCATTTTACTCAGGTTGGCACACAGTTCTGTCTCCTTCAGACAGATAATCTATTTTCAGATAATCAGCTTCCTCAAAGCCTGCTGACAGGATGTTCTCACAGCGGCTGATGGCAGATACGACTGCACTTCATGTAAATGTTATTTCTTCTGTTTCTCTGAGCTCTTCACACAAATGTAATGAGAGTTCTTATTGTAGCATGTTATTCCAAACAAAACAACATCCTGTTTTTGAATTTATTCTTGCAGTCTTGTGTTACCTTATCCTACATTTACCTATTCTGAAACCTTCCAAGCCCCATTTATTTAATTTGTTCTGCCACCAATATGCTACAGTATTACTCAGCCACAATAAGAGGGTAGCGTCTGCCTGGTTACTGTCAGAAGCTGTAGGGTTAACAGTAAAAAAAATAATAATTAAAAAAAAGGCACACCACTTTTTTTTTCCTTTTACTGAGAAGCTCTTAAAAGTTGGATGCAACAAAAATGACAGCAGGTAACAAAAGTGTACAGGTCACACTGGGCTTGTTGTTCTTGTAATGTCAATAATGAGTTAAGGTTATGTTCAGCTAGTGCTGCACACAAGCACTGCTTATGGGGTCTTCATGTCAGGGATTCAACTGGAATCCGCGGTTAGATGGGATGAAGTGCAGCAACAGGATGGATCAGACCCTTGGGGATGAACGTGCAGACCCTGTGTCAGTATAATTAAAGAATAGTTGGGTTGCCTGCATTCAGGGTGACACAATGCCTCCAACTCAGGAGGTTTTATAAGCAGCTTTAGTGAAATTGTTTGAAAAGCTTCACCGTGCCATGGCATTTCACAAACAAGCCAGTGCCTGCAAGACACGAAGATTTGAGTTCAGGAGAGCGTCACCTGCTGCGACGGGAGATAAAGAAGGAACGCATTGTGCCTCCGTCCATCAAACCTTGTTGAGGATTAAACGAATTTCCTTCAACCTTGTCGGTGAAGGCTTAAGGAAAAAAAGAAAAATCATTCTGCATTCCCTCTCCAATTAATTTTAGTGACCCCTTAGAGGAATCTCCTGAACTATAATCAGATCAAACGTTTCAAACATTCACCAGTTTTGAAAATACCTCCTAAGGTGATATAAAATGTACAAGTGTACTTTATATTCGGGGATAACACTGGATAAAGTCTAACCATGATGGGTTTCATAGTTGTATGAAAATGAATATTAATCAAAATGAAAGACATTGCAAAAGTATTTTGACAAATTGTATCTTTACAATTTGTCAACCATAAACCTATATGTTTGATTTGGATTTGATGTAATTAAGTACAATAAAGGTACATGGTATTTTGCAGCCTCCTACAGCAGTTTTGCCCTGTAAATCAAAATGTTTCCCTGTCCCTTAAAAATATAAATAAAGATGCCACACCAGGTTTTATGGTAGGACTGGGGTATTCATGGTAATTAACAATGCTTGCATAAAAGGCAACTAGCTACATTTTTGTGTCAATTGAAAAGTCCACATTACCTTCCACTTCTTTATGACACTAGAAAAGCTACAGAGGCGTTTTGCTGACAAGGAGAAAAATAACTTTTCAAGCGCCATTAACTTATAACATTTTCTACGCTATTTATTTTGCTTCACCTGATTTTATGACTGCACCAGATACCTACATAACCAATGTGATGCAAGTAGGACAAAGATAAATTTAAAATGCAGAGTAAATATAATGTCATGTCCTATGAAGATTTATTTAGCTCTAACAGCATGTCAATATTTTATCTAACATGCATAATTTATGTGCTTTTGTATTTAAAGGATTGCCATCACTGGTTCTCATTCTTTGGGTTCTGACCAGATTTCTCTATGATGACAGAGGGTGTCGTAAACTTTATTTTATTTCTTGATATTAGTTACATTAAAGCTGCTCATTTCATGCTAAGCTGAAGCAGTTTATCTTTCTTTGCAGCTGTTGGGATGACAATGACAACGTTGGCATTTGGTGGATCATTAAGGGACCAATAACAGGCTCTCTGCTGGTGAGTGATGAGCTGTGAAGCTGTTGCAACATGACAAATGATTTTTGTGGTTTTTTTTATTTCGTTTTTTTTGCTTCATTCACATACTTCTATTTGTACGGAGCAATTTGTCTGCCATAATCCAAAAGCACACATTTTCACTCTGAAAACAGGATTTCATGTCTTTCTTCTCAAAACTTGTAACTCTTGTACTCAAAACCTCTCATTGTGGTTTTGCAGTTTGAAGAAATAATAAGTTCATAAGAAGTTTAGAATGACCCTAGATAAGTTTAATTGCTTGGAGAGAATTCAACTTTTGTTGCTTAAAATCAGGGCTGATTATTTATGAGACTGGATTTCCTTATGCGACTCAAACAGAAAAGGAAATACCAAGTTGCACATTTTCCCAGTTTGTAGACTGACTAACAGCCTTTTAACCTCTACTGAGATTGAACAATTTGAAATCATTGTTATGTTGGTCTGATTTCTCTTTTAACCACACTTTGGGTTTTTCCTCTAGCTGTGGCAGAGACCTGCTTCCCAAATTACCAACAATGAAGCTGCAGCATTCTGGCAGGAGAAGAATTTCAGTTTTAAGTGACATAATTTACATAAACAGCCCCACTCACACAATCAGAATAACATAGAAGCTTTGATTTGTATATAAATTTTACATAAATGACTTGGTTGTAAAAAAAATAGAGGCTTTGGGTTTTATATAAACTACTATTGATTGATGTTGATGGTTTGTGCATATATTTCTGACAGGTCAACATAGTCATCTTCATAAACGTTATCCGGATTCTGGTGCAAAAGCTTAAATCTTCAGCCATGGCAGGAAACAGCGACACTGGTCACTTCATGTAAGTCTCAACAAAGAAGCACAGCACATTAAGCCTGAACACAGACTCTAAAAACACAACATGAAATAATTTCCCCAGGAAACGGATTATCAGGGTTATGGAGATTAGTTGAGCTCTGCTCTTCAAAGAAGCTATTAAAATCAACAAATACAACTAAAACAAATATGCACATGCGATACATGACTAAAAATCACAGAAAGTATTTTATAAGATAAATAGATACATTTTACTCTTGATTGAAAACAGTTGTGCAAACAATGCATCAAGAGAACAATGTAAAAATCCTTTCACAAAATGAATGGTCTCTTTCCTGCTGGTTAATCTGTAAATTGCTTAATTCAGTACAACACAGAACCCAGAAATACTGCTTCACCTGAATGACTGTATTTTCCGTATTAGCAGTTTGACTGGGGGAGATTTTTGCCGAGCTGAATTCATCTCAAAACAGAGCAAATAAAAATAGAATCTAGATACTAGAAATAGACGTCTCTTTCATCGCTGTGCGACAGAATTGTTCCACCCATTCAATGAATGTTTAACATGCTCAAAAGCTTCACTTCTGCCTTGCAAATTTCAGCCTCATTCAGGTGGATCAGAGACATGAGCACAAAAAGACACAAAGCACAGGTGTGACTAAAGAAAAACGCAATCCTATTGTAAGCATGAAACATCCAGGTGGGTTTTGTATTTCAAATCTTAAAGCAGTCACGTTAAAACCCTGATTTTTATTGTTTTGTGTGACTGGTGAGATGGTCAACATAAAGGTGGATTTATGCTGTAGTAAAATAATTTATTTAATCTCATCTATCAGTTTCAGTGACTATCAGTTAGTTTGGCTGTTTGATTCTTAATAAATTGATCTTCTTTCTCACTGTTCTGTTTCACTGAAATGAAATGTTTATCTTGTCTTTGTAAAATAAGCAGATTAAAACAACATGATTTACAGGTTACTGTTTTTGAATAAGTTGTGCTATTTATATTTATTGCATCAGTAATTCAATCTGAACTTGACTTGCATTTAAATAAATCCTATTTGGCATTTTAATCACCACCAATAGGGATGCACCAATATAAAAATTTTGACAGATATTGATAAACAATAATACTGCAGTTATGGCCTTTAACCGATATTTACATATATACTTTACAAAATTGTACACCTTCAGCATCATATAAAAGCTAGAACACTGCCGATATCACGTGCCTGCCTCATTTAAACACCTAATCATGTGCTGCATCAATATCAGTGTCACATGACCACATGGCTGACTCCCTTCCCTTCTGGAAACACAAATTGTAATAAGATGGAAATGAAAAATTGTTGTCATTAGTCTGATTTTACTTACTGGAGTGATAAAGATATCTTTAAAATAAACCGACATCGTTCGATATCGTTGTTGATGCCTATATGTTGTACATCTCTAACCTCCATTTATTGTCATAAAAATTGCCCTAATACTTAATTTTGTTTTACTTTGCTTTTCACTGTCAGTCTTATAACAGAGTTCTATACTATTCTAAAGGTTAAACAGATGGCAACTGAGAGAGCTCAAAGTTGTGGGTTTTGACTCCAACTTTATTCTGAAATGTATATCGATGTGCCCCTGGGCAAGGCAATCAACCCCAAGTTACTCATTGATCTGTGTAAATGGATGTGTGAGCAGTGCGATTGAGTGACTGTGGCTAAAGGTGGAAAGTGGTTTGTTACAATTAGCAAATCACTATGTAAATCCAGTCTATTTACCATGAGGCCTAAGTTTTGTCAAATTTGTCAAATATTCTTTTGATCCCTTTGTCTTTGCATCAGGCGGCTGGCTAAATCAACCCTGTTCCTCATTCCTCTGTTTGGGATGCACTACACTGTGTTTGCCTTCCTACCTGAGAACACTGGAGTGGCTGCCAGACTGTACATCGAGCTGGGCCTGGGATCCTTTCAGGTATGCAACATTTTTAAATGGAGCTAGAGTATTACATATTTTCCAGGCACATTGTACCTATAAAATGGCATACATTGATGTCTAATCTTCATTTAATATTGGAAAACTTTTTAATATTTTTCTTAGAGAGAAACGGCTTCCTCTTTGCATATCTGTCATGAAGGGGGTTTTACAGACTTCGTTTAGCAACCTGCTAGGATTGGACTATCCTCCACCTGTAGGCATATTTTTATAGAAAAACTGGCTTTAGCTTAATTTGAGACCTGTCTTTGAATTATTTTTGAGACTCATAAGCCATTCTCATGCTACAATCATTTTTTTGAAGGTCCCTGTTGACTCAACTATGGTCGTCCCTATCACATTAAAATTTACACTGATTTTCAGTCAGATGAAAATCAGTGTAAATGTTTGTGGCATGACCAGAGCCAATCTCCTTTCAAAGGTTCTTTTAATCATGTGTGTGATTAGAACACATACACCGCAACAGCGCAACCCGACATGCGACTCTGTCCCTCTTAAGTGAGAAAAACTTAAGTTCAAAACTAAAAGAGCCGTTCAAAGCATGTCCAAAATCTAATCTAGAACCTTCAAATCTGAATCTGCCAGGTTTTGGGAGATGAATATTTTCTGTGTGAGAAAATGTTTCTGTTTCACAAATCTGACTCATAAGCTACACAATATTTTTGTCAAATATAAAACAAAACCAATACTCACCAAGAATCTAAGCAGCATATGTTGTATTTGTTTGGACTCTTGGTAGTTCCACATTTCACTAACCTTACCATCAAGGTTGGTGAAATGTCCATTTAATGTCTCTCACTCTTGTCCTACATCTTCTGTTGTAGATCGCTGACTTCACTATGAAATTGTATAAATGCAACACTGTCTATGGTTTGATACTTTTGTTTTCTTCATGCTTCGCAAAAGGTTACAAATGAGTACATGCTGCACTGCAGTACTACATTTCAGGTCAATCAGATTCACTATAATTGATAACAGGTGTGAGGAGAAGGTGAAATTAGGCCAAAAGGTGCTTCAACAAAATATGTTTTAAGAGCAACTGCAACTGCTGTTCCCCTCAGAGATTTTTTCTTCTTCTGCTGAATAGAATTAGTATAAAAAACTGACATTTTAATTAGCAATTACATTTTTCAGAGGCAGTGTATTAAAAAAAAATTTAACTAAAATATTCTGTGAAAAATTAAGAAAATTAACCAACATATCTTGTGCCTGACAAGTTAGGCACAAGAGTTATATAAAATTTATAAAAAATGTATATATCTTAGAATATATAAATGGGTTTTAACTTCACTTTTACCTTAAATGTAAAAACAATTTGAGAAATATTCCAATTTGACCATTTTATTTCGTAAATATATGTATGTGAGTTTATCAAAGTGGATCAGATTTGTATTTGCAAACGCTGTTTAGAGTATATTTGTTCATAAATAAAGCGGAAAAGAGACATCCTCTCTGATGGACTCTGTAGCCACTCTGGATTATGAGTGGAGCATGTTAATGCAACATTTAAACAAAGTATAGTAAAAGTCAATAACCACTTAGCATTTTGGTTCAAAAACCTTAGCGCAGTTGAGCTCTTTATGAATTTAGAGAAGAGTTGCAATACAAAAAAAGAGAAATAAATATGACTTGAAATATCGCAAAGAGTTTGGAACAAATACTAAATTTTACAAAACTCATTTCCACGAGCTCTATGTTTAGATTTATGTTGTTTATATGTTAAAAGCATAGCGGCTAAATTCCCAGGCATACAGATTTGCTGATCTAGAAAATGTGGTCAGAATCCCAGCAGCATAAACATTTTCAGACATGAAAATGCAGAGATTGTGTTCCAAGCTGACTTTTTAACAGCATATTGCTCTGAAACAAACTAAGTTAATTATTCTGTTTATTTCTTTGTGTGTATTATTTACACAATAAAAGATTGACATCTATTTCCTAATTGAGTGTATTCACAATCAGCATTTACTTATGTTGACTGATTTTAAAGTGACTTCTGTTGTGTTGCAGGGATTTGTTGTGGCACTTCTTTACTGCTTCATGAATGGAGAGGTGGGAAATTTGTGGTTTTGTGACAATAAAATGTCCAGAAGAACAAACAGATGCTTTACACACCACCTTATCTGCTTGGCTGCAGGTCCAGGCAGAGCTCCGGAAATGGCTTTGGAGGTGCCACAATCCAAATCTCACTCCTGCTAAGAGAGGCATCACTCAGGTCACAATTCGAACCCATGGGGGCTTGGGTTTGCCTTCGTCTAGTGCCAACATTTCTGCTGTATAGTCCTTCTTTGTAAAAGGAGAAAAAGAAAATTCCGAATGTGAAGAAACAATAAAAGCGTGGCATTCCTCTGCTGACAACAATGACGGCATAACTTCAACTATTGTTTTATAACATGTGAAAGCACAAGAAAAACAGAGTCTGACCTGTGGAGATGTCATGGTGCCATCGTAAAACAGGAAGCAACAACCGAGACAGAGCTGGCTCTGGACCGAAGAGGATTTCAGATGCTTGAGTTTACAGGTTATACATAAATGAATGAGCTGATTTGTCTTCACAGCTTTAATTTTACTCTGTCATTTTAATGCTAACTGTAGCAACAGGACCATCTTCAATGGTGTGAAGCTCATTTTCATTTGGGGCCACATCAAGATAATCTTAAAATCATGTACTGTGGCAGAATGTATAGCATTATTGTGTTGTCTGTAATCAATGAGTAGTTCTAAAAAAAAAGATCATTCTTAGTATTCTTTCTCACTGAAGTAATTTGACACTTTACAAATAAAGCAGATTTGATTTGAATGATAAAATAGTATTTAAGCACAAAACTAGTATCTTGAATTTCTTGAAATAATTATGGCAGGCCAGATTTGGCCTGTGGGCCTCGATTATGACACATGTGCCTTAGACTGTGTCTTGTTGAAAACCACAGCACTCGTACTGAATTATTTCACACACTACTTTTTTTGCAAGAAAACATTAGCTTATGTATTAAATGAATCCACTGTACATGCTGACGTGTCCATGTACAGTGGAGGTAAAAAATAAAATTCATATTAGTTTACAAAGTCTGAAAAAATGTCAGTCTTTGGAAAGTACAACAACATACCACAGATTTATTTTGCAGTTAGTTCACACAAGTAGACGTGGATGTTGGACATCAGAACATTTATACGTGACTCAGTATTACAGGTTGAACACAAGGTGAAAGTTTCTACATTGTTTCTCAACATCTAAGTTTAAATTCTTTTGAATGCTTGTCATTACGTATACATGCATACAGAATACATTCTCTCAAATTTCCAGTCATCCGCATACACTCTTAAAACTGGACCATAAACAACTTTACAAAAACACTGTCACAAACATTGTAGATTTTAGTCAAGAAGTCCACCTGTATGGCAAAAATACACACTATTCATGATAGAGAAAAGACATCATTTGTACACCAGAGCAAATTGATAGCAGGGAACATCTAAGAGCAGCTGAGAAGCAATAACTCTACATTCAAAAATTCATTGACAATCAGTAAAACTCACACACACTTGACCAAACTGGCTCAGCAGACCATAACAGTTGAAACTGCATGTTAACACAGAGATGCATCACAAAACACAGTTCAAAAAAGATTTTACATTTTTGCAATTACAGTCATATTTTAGTGAGATTCAGATGGTGGTCTAGTACTTGAACTGCAAATGACAGAAAAGTGAAGTTAGGATTCATAAGCTACCAGCTATTCAAAAATTGCTTACATATGACCAGCTAGCCAGAAACTAGCTTTTTAAAGGAGAAAATGTGCTGATATGTTGATTTCAGCTTTAAACTCAGGGCTCTCAACGATACTGGATTTGATGTTTATGATGTACAAAAAGTTCTTGAAGTAAGGATGGGTAGCATTTTTGGTAAGTATGATTCACTCTGAAAGATCGGCATAAATCTTGACATTCTTAGTGTACATTTTAAAGCTATGAAGTGTACACCAATTGCTTAAAATGTAATCACTTATCTACAGTCTAATGATTAGTAATGCTTTGCTATCAATATGCTTGGAAACTAGGCTAGAATAGCTAAGAGCTGAACTTATCAAGTATGGCTATTAACCCTTTGCATGTGATGTCCCGCTCTCCAGAAAGAAACTCTCTTGGTTAGTAGACTAATATTACTTTTATTTAGTTGATTTGGGGTGCTATGTGGTCAGTTGCACAAAGACAAGGATGCTAACCAAACTTGACATTTTATTGTAAACCTTTCGATGGGGAAAAAATGATGGAGATGTATAGCAGCCCTCGGCGTATTAGTGGTTTTGCAGTAAGCACCTTTTACAAGGTAAAATGATTAATGTTCATGTACTTCAGAAGTAAGTTCAGTGAGATGCAGTAAAATATTGCATTATGGAGAAGGTATGCATCTAATCATTAGAGAAAATGCCCCACCATCATGGAACCTATCATGTATGATAAAACTAACAAGCATCTAGTCTTTACTATGCTTTTAAGTCTGCTCTGGTACAAGAAAAAACACAATTTATGACATCGAGATATAAATCATGTGGTGCAAATTCAGGCAAAGTTGGCAAACTGGTCAAACCAACACAGCAGTCAGAATGGAAACGATATGCGTTGGTTTTTGAGTGAGCTTTGCCAAATTTTGTAGATACTGCTGCCTGCAAGCCACGACCAACTACTTGATTAAGTGACGTAGCTGTAAAGGGTCAATACTATCCAGACTAGAGTTAGCTGCTACCTCTAGAAATACCAATATATCCCATGTAACTTAGTATGACACTTGATTTTCTAGGTAGACTACTCTTTTTTTTTTTTTGGAGAGTTTTGGAGCTTTTTTAGAGTCTAATATCTTTTGTAAATATTAGAATTTTTTTTTATTAGAAACAGAAGCTCAAATAGGGATTTCTGGGCCTTAATTACACTTTTAAATCTCACATCTGACTGGGCGCACAAAGCATTAATCACAACTTCAATCCCCTGTCCAGGTCAGCTTGTTGGGGCTGTAAGTACCTCACTTTGGAAGCAGAGTTGGAACATAGTGAGGCTGATCCATCTCAACTCCTCTCTCCATATCAATTCTTTCACAGAACACAAGATGGAGAAGCTTTTTAATTGGGGCTGTTGAGCTTAATGGGAAAATAAGTGTTCAATATGTATTTTGTTTTGGAGAAAAATGCTGAGTTTACCAACTATGTTCATGTTGAACAGCCTATCTATTCCACATCTCAATCTAAAAGGAGTTAGCAAGCTCATTTACCTCAGAGAAAAAGGTTAATTCAGTTGTAAACATATTTTAAGTGGTTGCTAAAAATTTCTAATGGAATGTTATTATTAAGGTACAAACAAAATGTTCTCTAAATATTATGTAGTTAGATAATATACACAGTTCTGTTTAATTATCATATAAACTTGTCACAAAGAACAAAGTATAACTCTTCAAGTGTAACTGTAAATCTATTGCTTTAGAGGCTGAGATTTCCTTTACCTTGCTCTGAAGCAATAGAAATGAATATGAATGATTTTAGCTGAAGTTTGGAATAGCCTTTACAGTGCTGCTAAACATTACATAATCAACATTAATTAGGCTCACATGGCTTGTCTGACAATTCATGTCAAATAGGAAATAAGAAATTTTGTTAATAATGATACAAATATAGTCATTATCCCTCTTTTTCAACATTCGTCCTGCAAATTCATAAAACAAAGCCTATGAAATCAATAAATAATAAAAAGCTTTCCTTCCGCGCTCTCTCGTCTGTTACAAAGTTTTGCTTCCATCTAGTGGTGGACAAATACACAGCACATATGTGGTCATGTAAGGAGTTTTCAACTCTTCTTTTTTTTTCTCTCAAACAGTAACAGCATTAAAACATGGTCGTTTCTTTCTGAGGTTCAGGCTCAGAATGCTGGTGACAGAAACACGTAAGCAGCAGAGTGGTTTTTAATCACACGCTCAAACACAACTGTTGCAGCGGTCAAATTTTTCCTCTATGTACATACTTTGACTGCCACACAATAAAGAAAATTCTAGCTTCATGATTTTTTTTATAAAGCCATTTTAGACACTATTTTTCTGCACAATAAATTGTGGTTTTTCTCCATGTAGTCAGAAGAAACAAAATCTTTTGCCACAAATCTCACCTTATAATCTCATGTAGGGACACAATCTATATGGCACTTTGACCAAGTCTGCATCAGTTAGTGTAATAAAATCAGACATTTACGTTACAGACAAAACAATTTGTAAGCTGTACAAGTCGATATGTTACATAGCGCATAATCATTGGAAAATAAATATACATCCATAGCTGTTCCGCGTATCATAAATCATCATTTAAAGATACAACAATCTTATAATCTGCTTGTATGACAAGAAATGAACATCTAAATTAAAAATATGGTGGAAAACTCCTATGTACACCCTTTCGCATTTTAATTTGACATGGTTTCAATGTGTACAGTAATGACTTTTTAGCTAGTTTGACCACAAAAAAAGGACATAGAGCAACATGTAAACGCGATTGTCAGCAGCGAGTAAATTAAAGCCTTTGTTGATCACTGACAACATTAATGTTGAAGTCAGACATGTGATGGTACTGGCACAGAAATTCAAAATGTGTGGTAGATGCAAAATTGACACCTCAATTAATCTCGTTAAAGATGTTCAACTATATCCTCATTTTATTTTGCACTTCATGAGAAAAAAGGCTAAACTCTTTTAATAAATTGCAAACTATTCAACTACCAGAGACGTATTGTCAAAAAGCATGCTACCCACAATAAAGCCACCACATTATTCAGTCTTTGCACAAAATAACTCCGTTAAATCATGTGGTCACTGATAATTAAAGTGATAGCTATTTGTATGAGTAGGCACTTTGGAAAAGGAGGTGTCTAATCAAACTGCACAAGGAGCTGCTTAAAGGCGGCACAATGGGCTTAAGCTCAGTCGATGAGCACAGAGTAAGGATGACCACCCATAATGAAATGCAGCACTTATGGAATCATGGCATGGTGAAGGTACGCTTGGAGACAAACATTGGCACAAACTGCTCATGTTCACAGACAACACATCTTGGGTTTGTTGAAATTTGTGGTGGTAAAAACTCGCTGAATGCCCCACTTTTCCTTCGCCTATTTGAACAAATGCAGTACCATTTCTTCCCTTCCATTTTATACCATAAGACATTTCATAGCGATGCACTTTGACAGTCCTGCAGCAGATAATTTTTTTGTTGCAAGTATGTGTTCTCATTAAGTTTTATGATAAATTATTATAAATGCTCAGATCTCATAATTTAACCCTCAATTCCCATTTCTGTTGGTTCTAATCCCTAACTATGAAACTTGAAATATTGTAAGCATTAATAAAATCAAAATAACTGAGTAACATCCTGTTGGTAGATAACCACATTTCCTTAGAGTTGATAATAATCAGATTATAGAACATCAGTTTAAATAATCAGCTCTCAAAGCGTGATTATTTATTATTTTCACGCTTGGCCAGTGCACCATGTCCTCTGGCAGATAACACATTTTTTTCACTTATAAAGGTTGGGTAAGAAATGACAAAAACTGCAAATGTACAAAATGTAGAATGACATAGATTGACCAGAACACCTCTGTCTCAATCATCCACTTTGAAGGGTAAAACAAAAACAGGTTTTATTTTTTAAAAAGTTGGCAATTGCTGCTCTCTGAGCTTATAGATTACATGTTTCCCTTTCTTATTTTGTATAAAGGAAAACCAGACTAGAGAAAGCATGAACCACTGGGGCCCCTTCATACATGACAGTATCTACAGATTTGGGCTCCAGTTCCTTTTGTTTGAAAAGGTCTTTACAATACACTGTAGCTAAAGAGATCAATCTAATCTAGACACTAAAAGTAACTATTTACACATGAGTGTTTTTGACATACTCTGTACTTACGGCTGATTGTAGGAACATGTTTAAATTCAAGATGAAACATTTACATATGAACGTTGAGCGTTTGTACAAGCAAGGCGAGCTTTTGGTTATGTTTTTTTTCAAACCTTTGGACTATAGTGATATCCAGTCAGGTGAACTGTATGGCACTTTGAAGCACAGTTAGTATTCACAAACAGATCAAATGTGACCCCCAAATATTTAATATTAAAGAATCACTTTCTTAAAATGTTTCAGAAAATTAACGTCTTTCTTATGGCATATAATCTTTATTTGCTTACATTTCTAAGAATGGTTTGCTTATAGGGAATTTAAATCTAACTTTATTTATCTAAAATGATAATGTACTGTGACAATAATAAAAAAAATTACCATCAAGTTTTTTTTTTTTTTTTATAAATAAATATTTCTATTTCATTGTACACCCAAATAAAACTGATCATCTCTAGTAAAATGCTTTCCCTTTTCATAAAGTAGAAAATATAAGAATTACAAGGGGCCACTTTGGTCTGCTCTGGTTGGTCTAACGTAAGTGGAACGGCACCTTGAAGTCGGCTCTGGACTATCAGACGCTCAGGTTGGCAGGCTGATGTTGGCGTTCTCCGCCAGCGGGCTGGACATGCGTATCTGTGAGCTGCTCTTGCTGAGGATCGACAGCTGAGTCCCGCCGTTCACCCCACTGCTGGCCAACGAAGGGTGCCTCTGCTGCTTCAGGTCCACAGCAAAGTACCGGTTCACCGTCCAGCTGCGCCATTTCCTCTTGATCTCCGACTGCACCTTCAGGGAGAAACTTCACAAGGTCATTTTTTTAATGTACTTTAAGCTGTACCAGCTCCACCAAAGGTTCACTTACTGTTCGTGGGAAAATGGTCAGGGTAAAACAAGACCTTAAAATCCATATTGAAGGTCAGAATTAATTTTTTATGCAAGGGCAGCATTTTTTTGGGGGGTTGTATATACCACATACAAAATGGTTTAGATTATTCAATTTAGTCTATTTAATTTGCAGGTAACTGCCACCTGTACAACACAAACTTTATAGGATATCTAGTTAATTACTGTAGAATATAACCAGTTTTAAAATGAATAGATTTTGCCATTTAATAAAATAGACCTTGGAATGTAATACTTGTCTGAAGGATTTATGAATAAACTTGTTTCTCTTTAGACTTTGTCTGTTTATCACCTCATGTAAGTCCATTAAATTTTGATGTTGTTGCTAATATCTCCAAGAATGCTGAAGTGTTTCTTGGTCCGAAAATGTAACCTTGATACACTCTTACACTACATTAGTACATTGGTCTCTACTCCATCTAAACTATTTAAAATATTGTTTTAGTTTAAATATTTATGAATACTAAAACATTTGAAAACATTGTAAATTATTTTTTTGAATTCAAGTATTGTAATGCATTTGCATGTAGGTGCGCAGACCTTCATGGTGAAAGGTGTTAACATATCAAAAATAAAGAAAACGTAATAAAAAAAACTGTACTAAAGTGATAATAGCTTACCTCTCCATTGAGGAAACAGTAGAGAACAGCAACCACAAATCCCTGAGAAGAAACGTAAATAGGTCACAATCCTTCTTGCATTTTGTCAAGTTGGGGTCTGTCTTAAAGTCTGTGGTGCTTTGTCCATAACTTATCTTTCTGAACCAAATTAAAAGAAAATGTTTACTTTCTTTGTAAATATGGACCGTGATGTTTAGTGGAGGAGTAAGAACAAACCTGAAAGGATCCGAGGCCCAGCTCAAAGACAAGCCTCTCCCTCTTGCTGACATCCTCAGGCGAGAAGGCGAATACAGTGTAGTGAATACCAAACAGGGGTATGAGAAGGAGAGTGGAGCGTGCCAGACGCCTGAACACACAAACACACACACAGAGACACACACAGAAAGAAAATATTTTTATTTAATCTTACTATCATGTACACAACAACAGGTGATACTATGTAAGTTAATTCATTTTGCTTAGACTCAAGTGAGATGCAGAAGTTGTTCTACTGATGCAGTGATGCACTGTAACATGCCACAAACTAAAGCCAGGAATTCAAATTGAAGATGAAATCTTGCTTTTAAAATTACTTTAAAAATTATTGCTCTGAATTACTATTTAATTTCAAATTATTCAAATGATTGTTTTCTTATTGTCAACTAATCCAATGAAAGACATGTATAAACCCTTAGCTATATGGCAAAGATCAGTGAACAGTCATTCATTTTCATTCTCTAACAAAACTTATAAATATTGTGAAACAAAGCATCAATTACTCTTACTTAAATACCCTTAAATTACTTACAATTTAAATCATCTTCCTAAAAATAATTTGACTGAGTGTCAGAAAAGATGACACATTTGTTGACAACAAGAATACAGAGTTGCTTTACAGTTGTAAATCAGGTTGGTTAAATAAATTATTTGGTCTTTATCTCTGTGGTATGCATCAGAAACCCAGCAACACACACACTGATGGCTGATGGAAATACAAAAAGACCAATAAAAAAAATAAAAAAAAACACCACACACACAACTAAAAGAAAAGATCATAACACAGACAAAACACAAAATGGACAAAGGTGCAGCTGTGCAAAAGTAATTTCAATATGTCTTATGACCCCCCAAAAATAAACAAACTATTAGTTGGATTCACTTTCTTGCTGAGATTTAGAAGAGACAAGAAAAGCTAAACTGGTATGTTGGTAATCACTCACTCCAATTTTGGACCAAACAAGGAGTGTTCAAATAACTAACTGTTACTTTCAGTGTTGCTAGATATTTTTTAGAAACCCAAGCTCTTTGGCAAATTACATTTCACATAAAATTCCATTTCTGGCCTTTTGCACCTTTTTCTAAAGCATTTTGCTACAACGTGATCCACCTCAAATGACGGAAAACCAAACTTGCTGATCAACATGGAAAGTTTTTTTTTTGCAATTGACAATGTCAGAATAATGAGAATCAGAAATAGAGTTTCCTTTTTGGCTCACAAGAAAAAAAAAGTTACATTTGAAAAGTAAAGAAAATTTTATATGCTACTTGTTGACTTAAATGATTTACTTTGATAGTTTTCAAGCAATAAAAACTACTGCTTGAGTTTGATTTAAAAATAAATCAATCATGTGGTAAAATGGCCCAGTCAAAGTCCAGACCAAAATGTTCTTTGAGAGTGTGCAAAGAGAATTTAAAATTTATATTTATAGCTCTTCTCCATCTAATCTCACTGATTCAATGTTAAACGCTACATTGAATTGGTTTACAACATGTATCAATAAAAAATACTTTTATCTGCTTTAAGATAATACAGTGTCCGCCTATTTTCAATCAATACTTTGCTCTTAATATACAGTATATCATAGAAAGTCCTCATTCAATTTTTACAAGCAAAAAATGGTCTTTTCTCTTCTGTTTTTTCCTTCTATAAAGGAGCTAAAATATCTTTAAAACATAAAGACTAATTTTGCTTTTGTAAGGAAGGGCTTGTTCAAAGATTCATTACGAGTGACCTGTCATGGCAAAAATAAGAAATTGCTATAAATTGTTAAATTGAGTCTTTGGTTTTGTGCATATGTAGCATAGATTTGATGGTATAATGACTATACTTTCTTAATCTCGAAGGGAAGTTAATGTATTTCACTGCAAAACATTTTGCTTTAATAAAAAGTAGTAAAAATATTATGTTTTTTTTTTCTGCTGAGGGTTGATTTTCCTCAATCTTCGGGACTTGAATTTGAAGCATTATATTACCATAACCTTACTCTGAAAAATAATCTGATATCTTTCCTAATACTATCTAAAGTAGTTTTACATACTTTAGTTACCACTGATTACTGTGTTAAGGTTTGCTCAGTCTAAAATGAAGCAGTTTTTTTTCAGTTTCGATAGTTTCTGCAACCCACTTATCTAAATCTGAGCAAGAATGCAAAAGTATTTTCCTCCTGCAATCAAAATGTACCAGTAACTCTTGAGATACAAGCAAAAATGAAATCCAAACCCCAAATTAAAGAAAACAAAAATATGTTTATTTACATGTTGCATTCTCAATAAATTAACTCAGTTTTTCTTTCTCATTTCTGTGTTTGTTATTCAAGTTTTTCCCAATTAAAATATTTGGAACCCCTGGGGTAAAACCCAAATACGCACTCGCATACACTGACAAAAAGCAGTCACAAAAATCCACAAAAAGCATTCGCACACATACACATACACACTTACAGTGTAATGGTGGATAACTCTGACATCCTGCACGAATGCTGAACAGCCTGTGTGGGCTCACTGAAGCATTTCTGAGCACAGCTGCTATACAGCACAAAGACAACACACAATACAACAAAGACAATGTCTTTAGGGACACAGTCTCGCACATGCTCACACATCTTCAGTTTGTCACGCACGCCTGGCCCCAAGCAGCAGATGAAAATGGCATTATCTGCAGGGCTTTGAAAGACAGTCCTGTGGGACCTGACCAGGAGTGATGTCTGACTAAACTACAACTCCATAAAGATGCTCAGGCTTCCTGGCAACAGGTAGTACATGTGAGTATAAAAGAAAGGTGGACACAACAGGTTATAAGATACCTTTAATCCTTGACTTATTTAAAACTGCGTATGGTTTATTCTTTTTAGCCATGATTGTGGTTTTGCTTTTCCAGTAAGATTATCCCGCAGCATATTAAATATACTTTCAATTTAGTACAATAATGACATTTATGACCACAATTCAAAAACATGATCTCAGAGAATTGATATGCATAAAACATTATAAACTACCAATTTGTACTTGTTTGCCAGAACTAAGAGTGCTAATGTAATATTTCATTACCCTACATGGGAGTAAGGTATAAAAAAACATCCTATTCAAATTTTAAGTCAAAATAACTTCTCGCAGATGCAACTTACAGATAAATGCTGGACTCATTTCCTCCAATATCAGGGGACTGGAGTTTTTGGACCAAGATGATGATGATCCCAATGAAGAGAACAAAATTAATCTGCCAAAAAAATAAAAAAAAAAACAAGAACTATGCAGGCAGTAGAATTGTTTTTTAAATAGTAGCCCATTTGTGGTTATTTTCAACCACCCTTTACTGAGCAGGCATCAAACTGCTGGTAAAAGACAGTTTTTTAAATTATTTATTTATTAATGGATTTTTTTGCAATATGGAGTAAAGATGTATATATTTTACTAATCAGAACTAATGGAAAATACTATGAACTTACCATTATTGAAGCAATAACTGGTCCTTTAATCACCCACCAGAGGGCAGTGTGCTCATTTGTTTCCCAGCATCTGCCGGTGACGACCAACATATTTTTAGAAAACATTTCCATGATGGCAAATGAAACTTTCTCGCACTATTCAAAGATTTCAGATTATATTTCTATTACCTCTGAATAGAATTGTGCCTATAATAATTACAAATGTATATTTACCCTGAATAAATACAATCCCTGTTGACCTATTTCATGAAAGTTGAACGTTGCAATAAATTATGTTTTAGAGGATCTATAGAGTATTTCAGTTCTTTTATAATTATTGTTTTTGCTCTTCAAATGCTTCTCTCATTCTATGGGTTTCTGGTGTCAAATAAAGCACTGAAAAAATTTTCTAAGGAAGAAAATTTTAACCTTTTAAATTAGTACTGTATTTGAAGCTAAAAGTCAGTAATCAACCTTTGCATATTAAGCCTCCAATTTTGGATGGTCATATTTTTCTATATTGCCTACATTGAGCATTCCACAATAGTGCCAATGCCTCATTGACTGGGCATGAAAATAAGAAATAGCAAACTTATTATGGGCACATCTGATACTATCCTTTTCCTTTGTGTTTGCGCTATACTCTCTGAAAGAATGGCACCCCAGGCAGCCATAGCACTACAAATAAGAATATCCAACTCTAAAATAAAACAAAGCCAGTAAACTACATGTTTTTATATTCAAACATATGACATTGGTTGAAATAAAAAGTTGCTACATACCCTGTGTCATGAAAATGAAGCCTCAGAACGGCCCAGACAGTCACACATATAGTTGGAGTTCCTATTATCCATAAACATACATAGATAAAGAACGATGAACACAAATTATACCACTTGAAAAAAAAATTAGCTGCAGATATGTTTGTCACTTAAAACAAGAAAACAATTAAATAATTAATCCATTCAGAAGTTGTTACATACCCCACCCCACAATGGTGTACCAGTAGAAATAGCGTCTCTCAGGGAAGAAGGTCTCAACCAGCAGAGTAAAGAGATACAAACCCTCGATGAAAAGCCAGAAATAGTTGGACATGACACAGTAATGGAAAAATATCATCACTGCTTTACACGCCACCTAGGAAACACAACGGCAGGATGTTAGAGCAGCAGGACGCTGAGATTTTGATCTTCAGAGAAATCTCATCTTTAGCTGGACTCACTGCTTAAACACTTTGTATTGCCTAGTTTTAATCTGCAACATGTGGCAAAAATGTCAGATATTTGAAAGAAAAAGTGCTCAACAGGTGACTGCTGATGTCCTTACATTTACCCTCCACCACAGAATATGATAACCGAGTACAAAAATGTACTGTTTCAGTCCAATGCTCCATCACAACAGAGGGAACGCTAATGTGTCTCATAGATGTCTCTATCGTGACTCCCTGTAGCCTTGAGAATTAACTTTAAAATGCTTTTCTTATACTATAAATTACTAAATGACTTAGGCCCAAAATAACCTGTTATGTTTGTTTCTGAGGTGCAGCAATAATATTAATGGGTCAGCTTGACCCGGGGGGTATTTAATCAAGCAATAGTGTGAGAAACCAAAAAAATCTTCAAAAACATATATAGTAGATTAAACTGCTTTGTTGGCGAAATGTGCAAACAAACTTGACTTGAGCATTGCTTTGTAAATGTACCTTTCCCAGTGTGTCATTTGACAGAAATTTATTTTATGATCCAAGTCTGCTTTGAAGTTCTATATAATGTTATCTCTGACTTACCCTGTTACATAATGATCTCTAAAGTTGTCTTTCAACTTTACATTTAGCAGTTAGATATTTATAGACACCCATTTTCTCCAAACAGGAAGACGAAGTGCAGTAAAAGGTAAGCAGCAAACTGAATAAATAGAATAATTTGGGACATTGTGGTTCTTAATTGGCTTTCAATCATCTTTGGCCATGTAGACTGCAAATTCTAAAATAAGTGACGTCTGGATTCTTGTTAATCGCTGTATAAACAGATGTGGTCAGTAATTACCACGGAATCATATGAAAATGCTGCATGAACTGATTGAAGTGGATATTCAAACTACCCACAGGAACGACTCACCTCGGTGTCAGGTGAAGTGTAATGTAGTGACACCATGTTAATGAATAGTGTCCACATTTAGATTTGGGTCAGACAATTACAGTAGTGATCTAATTCAGAGTCCCTCCATGATGATGACCTTGCAATCACTATGGCAACAGGTAAAGATGGTAGTGGGTTTACTGTAGAATATTTCAGGAGGCCTTTTCAAAGCCATTAGCATCTATAATTAGGTTTATTTGTCATGCCAGCTTACCAGAGCAGGCTATGAATTGTTTCTACGGGAAGGCTTGGAGTTTGTTTTGCATTTGTAATCATAGAGATTTACTATTTTAATGTATAAAACACAAACTTGTACCTGGCTGAAGTTCTCTCAAAATGTGAAAAGAAAAAGCTATAAAAACTGATGATGATTTTTACGTGAAAGCACAAATGCACTTTGACCAATTATTATTGAAAAATAGGTTTCTTTATCCAAACTTTCTACATGTAAATGTACTGGGACTATGTAAACAATAAAAGTCCAATTGGACAATTATCTGCTTCAAATTGGTCTAAATAAAGCAATTAACTTTGCAATTCAAAATTAATTTTATTAACAGCTGAATAAGCAGAGTTGTTTTCTTTTCCTGTGGTGAAAACCACACACATTCACGTCATGTCTTTCTATTTTCACAAGGATTTGCACTGACTTTCATTCATTTCAGTGGTCCAACACTGTCCCTAATCCTAAACCTAATCCTAATAATTACTAGTACATGCCTACCCCTAAACCTAGTGTAACTTCAATTCACACTTTAGCCCTGAATCTAACCCCTGACCTCAAAACAACACTTCTTATGGAGTCCGGGCTTTGGAGAATGTATTATTTGTTGTAAAAATGGGCTTTTCAAGGGGAAATATGCTGAAACTCACACATAGTCTTGTTTCTGTAAGCAAACACAGGATATATGATAATCATCAGTGGCAACTGACTGTGTGCATGAAGCAGTTTTCGTTGTCTTCCTTAGGGTACAGCACACCGTCCTTGATGAAGACGGAGATGGCTCTCAGGATGAAGGACACAAACAGGTTCATGTGAATGAAGTTTCTGGTGCAGTGCAGCTTCCTGCAGAAATGGGAGACAGTGAGTATGTTCACAGAGAAATAAGTCACATTTTATCAACTTTAATCTAATATATTCAGGGCAATGTTTAAAACTGTGAGTCAAAATTGTCCAAATCAACAGCAGTTTGAAACGAATTGTTTAAAATCACCTCCTGACAAATTACCTACCCATATCATGCATGTCATCTTGCGATGTATCATTACAAGTAGTGATGAGTAGTATCTTTGTAGCCAGTAAAATATCAAATATTCAGAATTTTGAAATCTAAGGGGTAAAAAAAATCCTTGCTTGAAGAATTTCACAATGGTATAGAAAAGTATAGTTAAATATTTAAAGTATTAGAATGGTTAAACATTTTTTAAACTGTAAAGATTTTAAGCTCGCAGTAAGACCCGCTCAGTGATCAACAGAAAAATCTTGATTGAAGTTTCAAGAATAAAATCCTTCTTGTAATTGCACAAAAGTCTTCTTTTTGCAAGTTTCCACTAGTTTTTAGGATCAATATTTGGTGATGAGCCCAGAGCATTAAAGTAAAAGATTCTTCTGCCATCACCATCTTTAGCTCCCTGCACAGATTATCAAATTCAAGTCAGGACTCAGGTTGGGCCAGTCCAAGATGTAAAATTACTTACACACAGTAGAAACATCGAGCTAAAAATGAAATGTGACATTAAACTTGTTGTTACTGTTTAATAATATGCAATAATGTGCATCTGTAAGCACTGGTTCATTAGGGAGATGGTTATTTTTAGTTATGAATAGAAAAGGTTTTATCTTTTAGAAAAGTACAATCATTTTTAGTAGAAAACAGCCCACTTGCAATCAGAGGCTGTTAGAGTAAGAATATAGTTCTAATAAGCACCCATTTATCTTGAGATACAAAAAAAATAAATATTTACTAATGAGAATATCTGTACAGATATGGGCTATTGCTTACTATACTTGAGGAAGAAACACAATATTGAACTCCTCAGTGACTGCTGTGACACAGTTGAAACATATTTTGCTTATTTACAATAGACAAGAACAAACACTGCTAATTCAAATTGCTTAGCTAAAGCCTTTTAATTAGTTTATTTAGGGACTTCCACTTGGATCAAACGAGTCTTTTGGAACGTGGTCCCTGCAGAGTTGCAGCAGCAGCAGCAGCTACTTACTGAATGGAATCAAAAACAGACTTCATCTGTTTCTATTTTCATGTTCAATTCTTCCTATTTTAGTTTCAAACTCACCTGAATCTGCAGAGAATGACCATGGCTGTGGTTAAAGAGACCAGTGAGGTGCTGTACCCGACCGTATACAGGGCTTTAACCGATGCAAAATAATCCTGATGATTGAGAACAAAAGTTAGAGTCCATGCAGAAAAAATGTGTAAATTTCAACAAGAGAAGAAAGTCATACATGTTTGGTCGTGTTGTCGTCAAAAAGGCAGATGTCCACATAGTGAGGATAAGGCTCAGACCAGCCATACTCTGTACAGTTTCGACTTACCCTCCCAATTTCTGAAAATTTTAAATACATAAATAAAAAGTTTAATGCCTTAAAGAAACCGGAAGGCAAAACTTATTCTGTCATTCAAAAAGTATTAAATGGAATGACTTTGCATACAAGGTGACTCACCTTCTTCAGGTGTCATGAAATCATGCAGGAACTCAGGACATTTGACCGTTACAACCTCACCGACCTCGGCAGCCTGCCAGCAGGTCAAGTTGTCCCACATCCAAGGACACACTGAAACGTTTTAAAAACATACTTAGAAAAATAGTTTAAAAACAAACTATATATCAGTTTTATGATAAACAAACTGCATTTGATTCATAAAGATAAATTGTGGTAGAGTAGTTAAGAAAATGACATATTTTTTAATAAGAGTAAATTCAAAGATTTTTCTTGATCATATAGTTTCAGACAGGAAGTGTGACTTGGAGAGACCATTTGTGGTACCAGCAATGGGAACCTTTTAATAATGTTTATTGTGGATATCATAGTTTTTTTTTTTCTTCTTTTGCCATGTTGGCTTCATGGCAGAGTGAAAACCTTATTTTACTCCCACATTAAGCTGGTTCTCCCAGTTGCCTAATTTATTATAATTTCATGAGTTTTTCCACCCGACTCCACTAGGGACAAAGGTGTAAGAAAATGGATGGATGGAGTTTTTCCATGTCTGTTCGCAACAAGTTAATCTCAAGAAGCAGTTGAAATATAGAAACCAGTGCTTTAATAATACATAAATTAAATAACACTATGAGACTCTTGCGCAAAGATACCACACTACAGTCTTAATAATATTTTTTCATATTAATGTATTTTTTTCATCAACCGTTTAATCTGAAAATGCCACAAATTCCATGCAAAAATTAGGAGGCTAATCAGACAACAAGAAAAAACACATCAAGAAAAATATGACAAATCTAAATTTAAAACCATAAATTAAAAAGTGACTGTAGAGAGGGCATGAGGTTATGCAGAAAATAAAATGCATCCAGTGTCTTCAGGTCCTCTTGTGTTTTTCTAGAATAAACCACAGAATCACAATTTTTAAGTGTTGGCATTCTTCTTGCTTTATAGTTGAAAATCTGTAAATTTTTCCAAAAGGTGCTGCTGTCATCGCTGCCGATGGTTTTCAGAAAACTATCCATAGTAGCAAGAAACTGTCACTTCTCCGGTGAGGTGAATGGCAGAAAAAGTGGTTGTGGGTTTCTATCTGGGTCAGTTTGTGTGCAATCTATCAGATAGACATGATCATAACAACCAAAGAAAAAACTCCAAGCCCTACTCTGACACTGCAAGTGATGTTTTTTTTAATTATTATTATTATTTTTAATCACCAAATAAATTGCAATGAGAAAACAGTAGAAAAACTGTTTGTCGGTACACAGTTGTTCAGTCACACAAATTCAATAATCACTTGCTTATGGTTCAATTTCTTATTGATGATCCACTACAGAGGAAAACATTTAATCCAAGGAATTCAACTTTAAATGATCCGCTGTACTGAATTTGGATTGCAGCTGCTTGATACAGCAGAAACATATATTTTATTTGCATATTTTTTCTTTATTTTATTTTATGGTGAAAGTGACTTCCAAAGAAATGTCTGGTATAGGGTACCATTAGAGAACTTGCTTTGTTCTTAGTCAAATTCAAGGCAGGAGCTTTATCATTATTTTCATTGAAACTGAAAACAGAAAAGAAGATGCAGATCTGCAAATTTGATTATTTACAAACCACATTTGTTTATTTGTTTTTGGTAACAATTTCAAGGTTGTTCTTGCACATTTAAGCTAAAAGTGACAAAGAAAATGTTCACTTCTTAGAAATAAGTTGTAATATAACTTATTTGAAGTGAAAAATGTTCCACAGCAGTACTTCATCCTCTCAGAAAAGCAGGAAGCCACTCTACCGAACAGGATTTTACTGAAACCAAAAGAAATGTAACTTTCTGAGACTGACAGCAATATTTTCATAATTCACACTGTTTCTGCTTGACTAATTGTTCCCCTCAAAGTTATGTAAACATATTTCAATATATTCCTCTTAAAGCTTAGTTGTTGTTTTTGTTTTTTTATTTCAATTTTTCCATTTTGATTTACTGTGGGCTGAAAAAGTAGAGAAAGACATTTGTGTATCTTGTGCTTTAAGAAAATAAGTTTTGTCACAAAATCACAACTGCTCTGAAAATAAACTAATCTAACTTATGTCAAATCCTTCCTGCTGTAAAGAGAACATCTAACAAAACCTGTGCAGGTCTGTATATTTGACATTTGTCTGAAGCTACTTCATTGCAATTTTAATCTAATATTTTATTCTTTATATTTCCCATGGTGATCATCCCTCACCTGCTTCCATCTATTTGCGTACGTCACCATTTTTCAGGTCTTTGCTCTCCACCTGCTCCATCTCTGTCGCTTTGCCTCATTATTTCTGCTGCAGCAGTTTTCTGGGTGCTGACAGGTCCAAGTCTGTGTTGTTTGTGTATGGAATGCTTTTTGTAGTGTGGCTGCATCTGAGTGTGCATATGTCTTTTTACATACGTGTGTGGATGTGTTTGCAGACCTTTTGCTTCTCTGCTTGCCTCTCTAATCTGTTTTGGTTCTGTCTGCTGAGCCGGACACAGAGCCAATTACCTTTTAAAGGGCAAATCAGAGCTAAATGAGCCGCATTGAGCCACAGAGGTAAGGCTTAATAAAAGACTTTGTCTGCATCGCTGGCCATCTTACACAATATCCAAGCATCCTGAATCTTCACTGAGCCGCAGAGGTGGATAGCAACTGGAAACATTTACTGTTACATTTTCTTGAGTAATGTCTTGGAGGAAAAAAAAAATACTTTGAACATTTTTACAAGACTGAATACTGTTACTAATTACTATCTACTGTATTATCAAAATTGTATGCTGAATACATTTGATTTTCCAAAATGTTCCTTCTATTTAAAAATGATTTTGTAGTCATGTCTTTCATTTGTGTTATTTTACTCATTTTAGTTCTTAAGTTATTTTATATTTCTTGTTTGTCCATCATTTTTAAAATATGTAATGTGTGAGAAAATTGCTCAGAACATGAAACCAGTGCACCAGCTTCTTGGCTTAAAACAGTGAAGCTACATTTTGGCTGATGACTACAAGATTAGATCAAATACATCCTAAATGTCCAAAATGAACATAGTAGTGGTAGTAAATGTGGAATTATCAAAAGACCTGAACAATCCAAACACATCAGTTTAATAAATATGAATTTATTTTTCTCCCCTTTTTTACTCCACTATTTCTCTTTTTCATACTTTTTTTTAAGCCTGCAAGCAGAATTTCTGCAAAGCAGGCACCTTTATTTCTCCACCAACGATTTGCTGTCAGCAAAAAGAGCAGAATGGCGTCTTCAAAAGGACAAGAGGAGACAGGATCAGTTAAAGGGTCAAAGAGGGCCAACACACTGACAGTGTGAAGTTATATATAACCACCCCCGACTTAACACCCTTTGTTACAAAGGAAACAACAACAGGATGTTTGAGTTTTACTATAGCACCACAACAGCACCAAATAAGCTCATAAGATTAGAAAAAGTTCTGCTGTTTTTGAAAAACATGCAGCCCTCTTTGTGCAATGTAGCAACACTTCATCTTTAAATCACCATTTGATAAATAAGCTGAACTTCTGTTTAAGCTTGTTGTCTCACACTCTGAATCCTTTTCTTTTTGGGGTGAGGTGCGGGGCTGGAGAGGTTTGGTGGCTGCCAGTAGAGAGGTGAGTCACAGCGCAGTTAGGATGTTGCAGTCTGCTGGACAAATTTCTAGCAGCAGGAAACCTCAAGCAAACGCTAATGAAAACCATAATCCATAGCCAAGAAAATAATTGCTTCCAGGAACCACATAACAAGATTCCTGTGTTTTCTAAAAAAGGTGACATTGGAAAAAAATCTGAAAGCAGTTCAGCGTGACATTACAGGCAAACATTTTCTTTTGTAGACTAACATAGAACAGCATATGCTACTTAGTAGCCTTACTAGGATAGGGTTTTTTTGAGAATGGACATGAAGCTTCATCTCTCATCCCTACATGTTCCTTTCTGATCCTTACCACCCAGAAATATGACAAATCACTAAGTGGAAAAAAAGCATAGCTTTTTCCATTAATTTTCTGAGGCTGACACATGGAAACAACAACTGTTTGCTGTTTCCATCAACGGATCTTCTGAGCCTCCACCGAGTTTCCAAAGAGACACAAAATTTAATCACAGTAGCAGAAGCCATAAAAACCAACACTCTGATGCCGAATTATGCACAAAGAAGTCTGCAGAAACACACTCATATCCTTACTTACCTAATTCAATGTCATCTGGGTTGTGCATTTCTATCATTTCCATGCATTTCTCATGATCACGCTTTATAATGCAGTGCCCAGACTCTGAGGTGACCTGCAGAGAAACAAGAATTAAACTAGTGTCACATCAAAAGTAGGTTTCAGAAACCATTAAAACGCATTCTGCTAATGCTTTATGAAAGAATGCATGTTTGACACTTATTTGGAAAAAAGCTGAAATTATAAACCTTGGGAGGAGAGCATAATTTCTCTTTCCAATTTGTGTCACATTTGTAAATAATGACACAAATTATTACTAATATTGCTTAACTGATAAAACCAGCAAGGAAAAACACGTTTGTCAAACAACTATATTTAATGTTTCCCCTGATTTAATTTATTTTAATTTTACTTGTCCTTTTCTTAAGCAGAATAATTCTGGATTGAAAATGTTTTAGATGCACTGGGGTTTAAAACTGGTGAAAGGTGTCAAAGCACCAGCACAGCCAATAAAGCGATACACAAAATGAAGCACAATAAGGGCCAAGAACATAGCTTTGTGGAACTTCATGCTTGAGAGTCATCAAACACAATCTGTCAAGTATGCTGGACAAATAGTCATAAATGCTAAATAAATACATTTTTGAGAATATTAAGAGAATGGTCATTTGGATGTTATCTTTTTATTTTTTATTTTTACAGTGCACATGTAAATTTGAAAGTTGTTGGAGACCTACAACAAATCTGATTTAGATATCTCATGAGTAGAGACACCAATGGTAAATGTCAGACATAATTATCAAGGTCACAATTATTTGTTTCTCATTGAAGTTTTGGGGATGTTACTAATTCCTTATACTGGCGATTTTTTTAAAAAATTGCCGGGCCACAACAAATATTTCTTGCTTAAGTGAAAGGTTGACAGTCTTTGCATTCTACCGTCTTGGTGCAACTGGGGGACATGCAAAATGCAGAAATTGCTCTCGTAGAGCAAAACAAAGTGAAGCAGGACACAGGAACTATTTACTCAGAAGGAATGCAGTCGCTGCTTGTCATTTTCTCACTTAACGTTTCTTATCACTCTCTTGAGATCAATCTTTGATTTGCACCCACATCCCCACCTTTCCTCTCACAGTGAACAGATAGGTGTAATATATCCCAGCCCTCTGAGCCACGGCTGATTCGTCACTCCATCTCTACCCTCTGTTATCAATTCACTTCAGGCCTTGCTGACCTGCTACGACTGGGACGTCAACTGCCTGAAAATGAACAAGAGTTCCCTTCTTTCTTCATCATGATGCTCATGGCTGGAATTTGAAAACTGCTCGATGACGAATGAATCACATGAGCATCATCAGAAATATCTGTTGTGTTAACATATCAAATTATGCAACACAGAACCTCGGAGGAACACAGCTGCTGCTTCTTCTTTTCTTCTCGGTGAAGGTAAACATCGCTTGTTTTTCGTATTGCTGCTTTTTTTTAATCAATAAAACATTTCCTCCCATACTGTTTGAAAGAAAGAGCGCCTTTCAAACTCACACGTAGCATCCATGTTGCTTAGCAGCATATAACAAGCATACTGAAGGCAAAGCTTCCCACATGAGAAATAATTGGATGCAGATGACTAAGATATGTTTGGCATGAATTCAGATAGACCTGTCAGATGAAAGGATGAATGTGTTATTCTCAATTTATGCAAACAGAGCTGCAGATATGGTTATGCTGATTGAAAATAGGTCTTTAGTTGGTTCCAGATCCTTTTATACTTTGAATAATTTATTCCAATCATTTAAGACGGTTCTTTGCCAGTAGCTCCTAAATCAGAGTATTTCTTAGGGAATTCTCATGTCATTAATTGAAAAATTTAGACAAAACAGCTTTTATAACAGATTTTGGCCAATGGAATTTACAGTGTTAACATCAGAAGTATTAAATAGATTAAACAAAATAGTCAGGATATGACTTTTAAGAACTGTCTCTGATCCTCTCAATCTGAAAACTGATATTAGCTAAAGTAATATTTTATCAACCCCTCGAGAGTGTATCTGTGCTGTATATCAAATGTAATTAAAGATAATTTAAGCCGTCAAATTGTTGTTTTGACCAATAACATTACACTAAACCTTGCTGACTGTATTTCATTTCACAAAAACCAGGTAAATACTATTTGTGAAATGGAAGAAAAATAATTCACTACTTTCAAGATTTTCTCCAACTTTGAAAAGGTGTAGAGTAATCAATCTTTGTAAAACCTAAGGAAGTGTTTTGTCGTTTATCAGAACCACATCCAGAGAATGTGGATTTTGCCTGTTAGATCAGATGGAAAGAGTCAGAACAATTTCATGTCGTTTGACAGATTTACGTCTGGGTTTTGACTGAGCCATTCTCATATGTTGTTAATTTAAAGTTAGATCCACACTTCCTGGCTCTATGCTGAGGGTCACGGTACCGTGGGTTTTAAATGACCCAAAACCTTTTGGGTCGTTTAAAAGATATCCTTCAGTAATCCCCAGTATGGAGTTTAACCAATCTGACACTGTTGGAGGAAAGCATCACCACAGCATCGTTGTCTTACTGTGGGTGGAGCTTGTCCAGTTTAAAATTAAAGACCACATTTCCTCTGTGTACTACATATGACTTGACATAGAATTGGATTAGAAATTGTTTGATGCTTTCTTGCTGTGGTGGCTTTCTTTTAGCAACTCTCATAAAAATCAGATTTGTGGCGTAAACAGCAGAAATGCAAGTTGCAAGTTCATAATTTATCACAAAAACATGCACACACATTCAACAAGAGTAATTTCCAAATAATACAAAGGCTTTTATTTTTCATCTGCTATTATTAGAAAAGCGTTTTACTTTGAGTACAATGATGAAATAGAAAAAGATAATAGCTGATGGATAGAACACAGAACAAGACAAAAAAAAAAGACATGGAGAATCTGAAGAACATTATGCAAATGTTCTAGAAATTCCACCTTAACCAGTCACCATGGCAATACTGCAGGGATTCGAAATCAATGAAAGTGATTTTCATGTGTGCTTCTTATTCTCCACTTTCAATCATTTCTCCTCTCTGAAACAGATGTCTGTCCAGATAAGTCCTCCATCCTGCAACTGCAGAACACACTGTTTCCCTCCCCAAGGCTATTTTCTAAGACCAGACAGCTCAGTGACTCCCACAGCAGTGTGCAGAACAGATAATAAAATTCCCATTTGACATGGCAGACCATCGAATCCACCGTAAAGATCAGAGTCCATACAAATAACGAGCGCATTACTGCATGGCCAAAGGACATGGCAAGGACACATTGTACATTAGGATGAGATTTTGATTTAAACTTAAGATGACATTTTTAATTAAATGTAATCCTAGGTGTGAAAAGATCAAACTGCTTTAAGTAAGTGTTGCATTATGGTTTCGTTTTAGAATCAGGTAAAACAAGTGGAAATCTGACTGATGCAGCTTTTAAAGTCCAGCTGTGCTGCATCAGGGCGCCTGATACGATTCCTCCCACTCATCTTTCATCCTTTTTAATTGCAAAGGGAGCGCTAATAACTGTGAGTCACAGCAGTTGGATTGACAGCTCTCTGGTCAGCCAAGGCCATCTGTTATTGTTCTAAGAAGAGGGCATACAGCTTAACACAAAGCTGATCCTGGAACTATAACGTATGCTGATGCTATTGGTGGGGATTTTTATTTTTTTTTTTGAAACCACGGCACAAAAAATTATACATGTGCATAGGCATGTTTAGAAAAACAAACCAAAGATTAACCTGAGACATGGGATACCAGTGATGCAAACATTTCATCTTACATGACTGCAAACCTGCACACATATTCAGAACATGCAGACAAATGACTTACCAAGTGCAGGAACAAAATTGCAGTGAACAAGTAGCCTCTCATCATGCCTGATGAAGAGCGTGTGTCCAAATGGCTCAACAGTATCGGTTTGTCCTAAAATGTGGATTGGTACTTGAAGGGAATCTCTGGAATCTGTTCCTTGGTTTCACAGCGACATTAAGGACTCTGAAATGTGCACAAAAGAGAAGAAGGAGCATCAATATGCAGATTTACTTAATGAAATTGTTGATTAAACAAATGTGAAACTTAAAGATATATCCTCCCTACTACCAGTCAATAATTTGACAAATCACGCTTCATTGTGAATGCTGCTTTGAATGTCTATAAGTTTTATACACCAAACATTTTCACAGATTATTATTTGTACTGGGACAGTCTCCTATAACTGCAGGTTGCCAGTTCAAATCCTCACTCATTCTGTCTCAATCATTGAGTTCATGGGCAAGACACTTCCCCTGGTTTGCCTGCTGGTAGTGATCAGAGTAGTTGGTGGTACTGATTGTATGTCAGCCTCACTTGTATCAGCCAAGACAGCTGCAGCTGCAATGTAGCAATGTCGTTGTCCAACTACAGGACAAACTTGAGCCCCAATTCCTTTGGAGCCTCTATCAGACTCTTGTCCATGACTGTGATGCATTTAGATTTGTTCATCTTCCCATCACCTGAATTAGAGAATTGTATTTCTACTGACATTAAAATAGATGGGCTATATAACTTTTGGAAGTATATTAGTTGATACAGCCAGTGTATTAGTTACATTGGACATAATTAAGGTAAATTAGAAAAAAGGGTATTTAAGCCAAAAAGATGACAAAGTGTTCAGATTAACTATAAAAGTTCATTTATTTGTTACTTTGTGTTTATTTATCAAATGAAAACCAAAAATGATCCATTAAAGTTTGGAATTCCAATGTGACAAATAAAAAAACAAACAAACAAAAAAGCCGAATGGCAGAAAATTAGATTTTTCTTTCTTGTTTTTCTTATTTGACATTTATTTTTAGGTATTTTTGCATTGTAATGGAAACAAGGGTTGCACTATTCAAAAAATATTATTATGGATGCTGTGTTATGTATAACTCAGCTGCAGACCAAATGCTTTCTTATTTCTGCTTTTCAGTCGGGTTAAGACATTTATGGAGACATTCGGTAATAAAAAAATGTTGAAGTGTGTTTCACTAAACTTCTGTTGGTTTAAATTGTATGTAAAACAAAGAACTGTGAAAAGTAAAGTTAAAAGCTCTTGGAGCGCGCCTATTTAGATTCACTTAACTTTTTCTCTGGATTCAACTTATATTTTTTAAAATGTAATGATTTGTATTTATGTAAATATTTATTAACATTTATTGTCTTTGATGTTAAGTTTGTGCAAATATTGTTTGTTTTCTGATTCCCTCTTGTCGTGGTTCCTTCCTCTAAATCCTTCAGGGTATAAAAGACATCTAGTTGCTTTCAAGGTGTTTTATTTGTACACATAACCTTCACTACTTCAGTCAATTCATCCCATTTTATTGCCCACACTTCTCTTTTAAACGTTGAGCCTCTACTAATCAAAAGTAACATGTTGATTGTAGCTGACATTAACAATTATAAAATTGTTCAGCATCTTGTGTGAAATGTTTGGGTTTTAGGAAGTGCACATGTCGTATTGTTCCTAAATGCAATGTTTTTTTTATTCAGATCAGTCATATCATCACTGCAAAAACAATTTTTCACTGCATTGTTTTATTTTGCTAAATGGGTAAAAGTAAACTTTTTGTGTATTTATATAACTACCCTCTAAAGTTTCATATAAAGTATTCTATTTCATCATGCATTTTTTAAATAATATTTAATCTTCGATTTTACATTCTTTTGAGCTCTTCTCTTATGTTTATTTATATTGTATTATCTTTAATCATTTATACAGATCACCTTAAAAAATAATGAATCGTCTGTGTCATATAAAGAGTATCGCTACACTTAAGCATACATAATGCACCAGCATGGCAGGACAAAAGGATTGCATTTATTGTGACAACTGTTTTCAAAGTAGAGACACTGTTTGCTTTTTTTAAAAAATCACACTAAATCTCAAAGCTATGAAAAGAAATCAGTGGATTTAAAAGTGCAATAGAAATACCTCTCATTAGTTTTATGCTGTTATGCGATTCTGCTTTGACTGAGCATGACGTTTCCTGAAATTCCCTTGGACTTGAGAATCGTTCCATTAGTTTCTGATAATTAATGGATGAAATAATGACTGTTTAATCAGAAGATATTTAATTAATGACGAACTGGTATTAAAACACATGTACATTGTGCTTCCCTCCAAATGTTGCTCTTTTATGACAAAAACAACGTCTGAGTTTGCATCAGACCCTAGCTGACTCATAGTGCTCAGGAATACACACATAAGCACACCCCCCCACACACGCACACACACACACACACACATCAAGTTTTTAGACTCTTCTTACATAGCACTTTGTATAAATACAATAAAGGACACCAGATTTTCTTCTTTTTTTTTTCCACCAATTATATGTCCAACGAATAAAGAATAGTGATTACCACAGGGAAAAAGTTTGTGTGTGTCATGTATATTTCCTTCTAAACTATAAATACTTATATGTATCAATAAGACAGGTCCTGGATAACTTATGTTGCAGTTTTTCTTTGAGGTCTGTGGTGCAGACTCTAAAACAGAGAAAGGGAAAGTTTCTGCAGGAGGTTCTTTGATAGAAGAAATAATTCTGAATCTCACAAAATATGAAAGATGTACAAGTTTACTGTATCCTCATTCATGGGCAATAGTTATTTAGGGATCAAAACCAAAGGGAGTTTTTAGTTTTGATGCATTTATTTAAGAGGGGAAATAAACCAGATTTTGTAGTTTGGACCTGCCACTAAACAATCGCAGGGACATTCAAATTGTATTTCTATAAATTACAGAGCAGAGTGTATTTGATGTATCAAAGTTCTGACACGAATGTCAGAAAATCTTTTTACATGTCTGGAAAATAAGTGGCTGAATGCCCTAGCAGGAGATTTAATTGTGTTTACCTCAGATGGACAGAAGTTAGTGCTGGAGGATTGTTAGCTGAAAGATTGAAGATTCAAAGATATATAGATATAAAAGTACCAGGCTTACAGTTTAGTGCATTTTCATTAATATTGATATTAGAAAAATCTAAGTGGGCCATCACTCATGCTACAGAAATGCTAAACGTTTAGCAGTCTGGCAAAGCTTGACATCAAACTGTGAATCCAAAACCCAATGAAAGAATGTTGGAGTACAACTAAAAGTTGTGCATTTTAAACACAAGGTAATAATACGTGCTACTTGTGAATATAAATGTGTATATATTGAAAAAATTATTCACCTACCAATAAGTGAAAAACTGTCCAGTTGATTGGTACATTTCTGATGATAAAAAAAAAAACATGTGTAAAGAGCTAGATTTTTAAACCAACTCATTTCTCTTGCTTATTTTTTTATCACCTTACACAACACAGCAGCTTCCTGTTAGTATGATAATTCACAGAACATAAAGCGCATTCTAACCAGCTGCAGCAAACACACATAACATGCAGGCAGTCGTTGAAACAGCAGAACATGGAGACATGTTTTCTCGGAGACAGTTCATGCACACAGATGAATTTCACTATGTGTCCTTTCCCTCCACCACTGAATCCAATTACCTCTAAAGCATCTCTCGGATGCTTCATCAAGTAATAGAACAGACAGCGCTCGGGGGCCAAAACCCAGAAATTTAGAGGGTGGAACCAAACAGTGAAAAATAAGACCAAGAAAATCAAACATGCACTTAGTTGGTTTTACTGTGTTTCTTGTGAACTATTACACCAATAGTTTCTTGCAGCATAAAAATTTAATTGGGTTAAAACAAATCACATATGTTTGGGATTAACAAAACTCTGAAGCAGAAAACAGCTGTTAGCCTGAACATTAAATCATCCTGAGGACAAAAAGCTAGATTTATGAGAGTCACATAGAAATCTGTGATGTGTTAAACACTCTGTGTGATTTACAGCAAATTTATGCACTGATTCTAGTAAGACAATGAAACTGAAAACGAAAAAAAAAATCATTTAGAGAGAAAAGCATATTTCTTTGCCAAAACTTTAGAAGAAAAACAAAAACATGCCCAAGCTAAGACGAGAAAGTATGCAACAATGACTCTGTCACTGTTCTAATGTACAGAAGCTTATGCAAATAAGAAGAACTCTGTGTACATAATCTATCAATTGTAAATATTATTTAAAAGAACTCTATCACCCAAAGCCTCCTCATTGCTGCCTGAATATTCAATTTTTCTATCAGCCTAATCTGGAAGGATGCTTCCAATTAAGCCACATGCAATGCTGTAAATGTGAACAGCACCTCCATGTGAATAATGTGTGTTTTGAGATCAAACAGCCCAAAACACAGCAGCCTGTAAATCAGCTCCAACGATGTCAGGTGATGTGTGCCAGAACAAAAACAGCCTTAATTACAATCAATATGAGACAAATGTTTCTTCCCTCAGTGCTGCAGAATCAATAGGATAATTTTGCCCTGCCCTGTTTTTTTTGTTGTTGTTTTTTTTAATCCCCAGATATGTTCAATATATCATATTTGTAGGTGACCTTCATTTGTAAAACATCTCACTGTACATTTGCTGCTCTTACTCAAATTACTGCCATGCGTATTCTGACATTTTCAAGAAGAAACATGTGAGATCTGATGCTTTACGAGTTCAGCTGCTGCTGCTCATGCAAAAGAGCCATAGATGCAGGAAAGAAAAACTTACCGATACATACGCCGAAATGTTTACGCATGAAGCCATCGGTATTTGCGGGGTTTCACTCGGGAATCAGGTATCACCACGTCCTGCTGCTGCGGCTGCCGCTGCTGCAGGACGCACTCACTCACCGCGTCGGTTGCTGCTGCTGCTGCTGCTGCTGCGGCAGCACGACGACGAGGAGGAGGAAGAGGAGGAGGAAGAAGAGAAGGAGGAGGAGGATGAACGCTCCTTCGGGGTTCGCACCTCGTCAGACACGGAGGTAACAAACTGAGACTGTTATGTCTACAAATGAAGGGAGGCAGCGGTGGGAGGAAATGGGAGGACTGAAAGCAGAGTATTTTCGTTCAGGTTTAACGCGTGGGACGTTTTTTTTTTGTTTTCTAGGACGGAAACTGCTCGCAAAACTCTCGCGTTCGCGCTTGCACTTTTAGAAGTCTCTGTGAGCAACAGCGGTGGTTTGTGAGTCAGAATCCAGTGTGTAAATTGCATGTTGGTCAAAACTTTAAACTGAAGGTCCCCCTGAAGCTTCAGCGGGTTGATCTGCTGAGGCCACCGGGGCCACCGGGGCCGCGGGCCACCCTGTTTACTTTCAGCACCATGGACAAAGGAACCAAAAAGAAACAGGGCCTCAGGGCAGCCCCGATTCATTGGCATGTCCAATCTGAATACTAATAAGAGCCTGTTGTATGCAAATGCCCACCGATCTGTTTTGATCCAGACAAGACAGGTACGACTGGCAAAAATCACTGAACTATCTTCAAGAAACAAGAGAAGCATTAACAGACCTCAAAGATATGCAAAACAAGAACAAAGGTACACAAGATCGGGATGCTTCTAAAAACAACAGAATAAACGAATGACAACAAATGAAGTGTCTTGCAAAAGTATCCAAACCTCTGGAACTTATTGGATTTGTGTTATATCACAAACACAAACAGATACTTAGGAAAGAGATCTGCAGCTTAGGTGGAAAAAATGCTCAGTTAAGTTGCGCTGTCATTACGTGTGCTGTAATCTTTACTGTAATGAAATGGTAATTTAAGGGACAGAGCAGAGATATGTTAAGATAAAATCAAAACCGAACTTTGTGGTCTATTGTTACAAAAGGGATCAAATCATTCAGATGCCTGAATAATTGATTGATTACTTGATACCTTGACATACTTATGTTGAAGTTCCCCAACTGACTAAAAACTTGAATTCAAATCAGTGCCACTCTTTTCAGCTTTTTATCCATAAAACACATTTTTAACAAGTGTTTAATTTTTCTTTCTTTGTGTTGTGTTTTGTGTCTGTCACATTCAGTCTAAATAGAATACAGCGACATATGCAGTTGTGATATGAAAAAAATATAAACATTAAACAGGCAGCTGCATGAAAGGGAACAAAAATGTCTAGAAATCTTCGTCATCTCTTATTTAACTCACTTTCTATAAAAATCCAGCTGCCTCCAGGTTCTAAAATCACCCCCCAGCTGAAGCAACTACTATATATGCAGTCTGGTGTTTAAAGGCCAACATGACACATGTGATTGATCACACAGATGAGGTCTTTTGATGGCTCAGTTATCAATCAACGAGGAATAAAAAGTATTAAAACCAGAGAGCTAAACAGGAACCAGACGAATGAAAATGAATGAAACGAGGGTGGCGTTTAAAGCTACAGTGACGCATGCCTGTTGTTGCTTCTGGGAAATATCAGCACTGTTAATGGAGCTTCCTCAAGGACAAGAGGAAATGTTCCCATTGATGACTTGGAAAGAAAAAAAATCTCAGGTGTAGAGTCGAACACGGTCAGGCTGTTTCTGCAGCATAACAGTATGTAGGACAATGGTTTGAGCTTGTTTCCATGGCAGGCAGATCCAGCAGTGTATTACCAATGCTTTTGCTTTCTGGTTCTTGATTATTGTCAAACTAAGCAGTGGTATTTGCACGATGATTGCAGCTCTTTGTTAACAGAGCAAATAAGAGAAAAAGAAAAACATTTTAGGAGACACAATTTGATTTTGACTTACACTCTGACTCTGATGCTAGAGTGATCAGAGCACAAATTAATTATTTTAATTCTCTCAGCTTTACTCAAAGGACACTGCGACCTTGGTGTCTGTGGATGTGTTAAAGATAAAAGCAGAAATATTTAGCCCTCAACACAATCTCAGAATTGGAAATATCACATGCATTTTTTTCTGACCTTCTTTCTCCTTGTGTTTCAGCTCATGAAAACAAGTTTGTGCAACCTATTTTCATAAACTTGGACAGATCTCCAGGTCATCTGAAGATGAAAAGGCTCAGACACAATAAAAAAAATATGTTTTTAAAACACAAAGGATGTTTTATGGTGTGTTTTTAAGAACAAATGAATAAGCTAGACTCCTATTTCAAAAATATCTGCCCACTTTACCACATTCGAAGTCAGTTTTCAAATAATAATTTTATTATTTTAGGGACAAAGCTATTCAAACTAATCTGCCTCTTTGTGAAATAGAATTGTAAAGGATTTGGACTGACCTAGTTAAAGTTCAGAGTAGAATCTGACTGTAAAGCCATGGCATTCTCTTCAAGAGGCGATGCCTAATAGCTCTCAAGCGTTGCAGAATAAAACAACTGCACCAAAAAGTTTAAAAAGTCAAGGGTCAAAGTTAAACCACAGACTCAACGTCAATCATCACAAATGCTTGAAGGCAATTGTTGCCACCAAGCGTGACACTACAAGCTATAGGGGGCAATTACTTTTTCACTTAGAACAAAGTTTTGTTAGATGATATTTTCTCCCTCACAAGCTAAATCACAATTAGAATATTCACTTCAACAATCAACACATCATCAAACAAACTCTGTAATGTTAAGGAAATACTGTCATCAGAATGAGATGGGCTTCACTGTTTGCTCCTGATTTGATATATTTAGTCATTTTATGGTGGGAGTAAGTGCCTAATTATTTCATTACATTTTACATTAAATTCAATAAGCAATTTCTTCCCATTTTTAATCATTTACAGATAGTGTATTTCTTAGTAATGAGGAAAATAGTTATTAAACACACATTAAAACCTTTGGAAAAAACTCAGGTTGTCACTGGCTAACCTAAATTTCTTTCCACACATACCTCAAGGAAATGCCATCTTCTAATTCACAATTTATGGAGACTCTAATCAATTTCAGAACATGAAGCCTTCATATATGGCATCCACTGTGGATGCCACGTATATGTGGAATATTTATTCAGAAACAAAATCTTCTGTGGCTTTTCCCTGACTTTCTGTTCATACTTTTCTAACCATTGTATTACTATTCGTACCTCACATCCATTTAACAAAGTAAACTGGTTTGTCCACAGTTACAAATAGGACTTTTGACCATTCGGGAATGTGCCCACGAACAGTCTGTCTCCACAGTTGCTTTATTGATATAACACGCTGTCTCCTCAAAGTGTATACGCTCCATTGCGCCTCCACTCAATGAATCTCTCCGCAGGACGTCTCTCCCACTCCGTATTCCATCACGCACCGATCAGACTGTTAGATTGCCATGGAGACTCATCTTTGACAGTGTGTAGGAGGGAAGCATTAAGTGTCTGAGTGCCAAAAAGCCCACCTACCCACCTCATCCCAAAGAGGACACTGTGGGAAAACAGGAGCTAAGACCTCATGATAACTCCAAGGCCATCTTCTTTCTTCTCTCACACATCAGTTCCCCGCCGAGTGTCTCACTTGGAGCAGATAAATCAATCAGCTGTAAAGATGCAAGCACAAGCAGAGTGATAAAACTTTTCCTTTTTGAAGGCATGGTTCATCAAACGAAAATATCTTCCAATAAAATAGCAAGGGATAACACCTTTATGGCATAAAATGATTTCAAAGACAACAAATAAAGTCCGTTATAAAAGCCAGAAGACACAAGTTAAATGCAGCAGTAAAATAATCTCAAAACTCTTGCATCATACATATTTGGAGTAAATTATTTTAATAAAAATGCAAACCTATCTAAAAAACTGTTTATTCACCATCATCGTGTATTCAACACCACATAGTCCATACAGTAATAAACTGCACAAGAAGCAGTGTCAATTCCTCCGTACAGACCATTAAGGCTCATTATGAATCTGCATTTTGCTGATTCACATAAATTAAATTATTATTTCAAATCAAATCACTTGACGTACAGCAATTAAAAATAATTATATGACATCACAATGTGCAAAACACATTGAATGCTTTAAGAAAGAACAGTTTGTAAAAATATGGTCCATAAAAAGCCTCAAGAAAAAAATATCTCTAGAAGCATAGCATGGATTAAAAGAGGTTTTGGGTGCCTGGTGTAACCTTAGAAAACAGCTGTGTCTATCCATCAATTTGAGAAGGGATATAATTACATTTACAAGCACATTTGCATATGTAAGAAAGAGAAAAACAAAATTTAGAAACGGGAGGAAAAATGGATACAAGTCCGCCCACGAGATAGTTCTGCTAGTGGTCGGCCTCTGATGACAAGCTGACAACAGTTCAGTCACAAAAAGAAGAAGCCAGCAGGGCTTGTTTTCAAAAGGGTTGCTATTTTACAACCTCTTCCACTAAAAAGTGACATGGCAACATTACTTCACTATATCAAGATTTCTGGATTGGAACAATTATTTTTTTATTTATTTATTTTTTTTAAAGAACTTGAATTAAATGTTGGTTGGAGAAAAGTCGAGCCAGCATTTAACACAGTCAGACAAAGAAGAAGAATAGGCATACAACACTTGAGTACAAGTTAATAAGAAGGGCAATCTTCTTATTAACTTCTTATTAACCTCTAATTGCTGACATATCTAGAGATATGAGATATTGCAATCAGAAAAATCCTTTTCATTATGACATAGAGGTAAATATTTAAGTCCAAATGACGGTCATGGATTAGGAACTCCATGCTTCCCCTGAATCTCTCACTATCAGCATGACAGTAAAAGGTCTGGACCTCCATTTTGTTTTTGTTCAAGTCTGTTCAAAAGCTTTTGATTACTTTTAATGTCAGGCTTGCATTGCTGAGCGACATTTCTCAGCACGGCAATATAATTGCGGGTTGTCAGAGAAGCAGAAAAGCAGCTCGGTGAAATGTTCTGCAATAGATGACACGTGTCGTCAGTGAGTCCTTTCACTGTTGTGGGGGACGAAAATGACACATCATGCATTAGAGGTCGCAGCAGGAGAGATTTCAGTACACTTATGTTTGTGCTTTCAGA